GTGTGCGTCATTGTACGTAATAGAACATGTCGTTTGATCAAACATAATTGCTAATAACGTTGGCGCAGTAAAACGAGATACCGAAACGCATCCTAGTACCGTTGCTATTCTTTAGCATTCAAGACACCTCGGGACATTCTGATGTCAGAGGTGTCGTAGGAGATCCTGGTATGAGATGACGTTTCCATGTGGTCCCTCGAGGCCTGCAACGGGGTTATGCAAACAGGTTGAGAACACAGTGACCCGTTTCGTATTTGCACTGCACCGCGAATCTCCTTAGTCTCGTAGACGCGTACTCGTACACATCCAGGGAGACCGAGCCAACGGCGGGCGAAATGACATTACGCGATCGATGTGCTCAACGATACTGCTGTACGAACCAGTCTCGCTGCAGAGTAGTACCTCCATACGATCGACTCGCGACGTGGGTCGGAGAGAAGAACCTCACACTCACTTTCTCAGCACCATGGTCTTGTACGACCCGCAGTACCACCAGAAGCGTGCGGCCGTCCTCGCGCAGAGAAAATGGGACGAGGAAGACGCACTCATGCGCAAGCCCACTCGGCAAGCGCCTTCGACTACCCACGACGCACGTCGTACAACGTTCGTGCCGCCGCCGCAAGCGCTACCCTCGGCACCGATTCGAACGACACCAATCCGCTCTGTAAAGGCGGGGCGCACTTGCTCCCCGGACGCGCCACTGTGCAATGACTGGAAGCAAAACGCGGCATACCGACTCAAGAAAGAGCGCATCTCGCATTATGTGCCGGCGCGCAACAGTCCCACCAGCTCTGGTGGCGACGACGGCCGTGCGCTGAAGTCGGTGCAATATCTGACGGCGCAGATTACGGCACTCGAAGCCAGCCTCCGTGCGTCGCGCGACGCGGCCGCCGCTGCCGCATTGGCCCACGACCACGAGCTCCAGATGATGCATGCAGCGCATCAAGCCCATATCAAGCAAGTACAGGCAAGCTGTTCGGCAACGCGCGTTGCCGCCGAGGCCGCGCTGGGGAACTCGCAGTCGACGCGCCACCAGCTGGTGCACGACGTGCACTCTGCGTATGCCAAGAACTCGCTGCAATCTGACAAGGCAAATGATGCCCTCAATCTCGCGCAACGCGACGCCAAGGTCCAGCAGCTGCAAAGCAACAGCAAGCTGTCGGGAATGACCCTTGAAGACGTGGCTGCGCAGCACGAACAGCAGCTTGCAGCGCTCGCGGCCAAGCACAAGGCGGCGCAAGACGATGCGATGGCGCGGCAGGTGCGCGAGACGAATGCGCTTCGGGCAATGTTTCAATCAGTTCTGGTCGCCCGTGATGCGGCGGCCAAGGCAGCGCAGCAGCGCAAGCGTCGCGCAACGGAGAAGTTGCATGCGCAAGCGGTGGCCGATCTCGAGGCCGATCTCGCTCAAGTCCACCGAGCTTCCGCCGACGTCGTTCGCCGACATTGCCTCGAACACGATCAAGCGGTGCGCGAGATACACACTGCGCACGCGATGGAGCTCGAGACCACAGCGCGCCAAGCTGCGCTTCAGGGCCAAGTACAAGGGATCGAGTCGGTGGCGGCACAGCTGCTCCTGGCACAAGACGAGTGCAAGCGCATGCGGCTTGCGCTGCACCGCACCGTCCTGAACCAAGCGGCGAAAGTCGCCGCGATGTGGATCTGCGTCCGTGATGACCGTGACGAGATGGAGTGCCGCCTCCGTGCTACAGAGGAGGCATCGGCGCAGCGCGAAATCAAGATGGCGAAGCAACATACTCTTGAGGTCCAGCGGTTGCAAACCGAGCTCGATCGCGCCGACGCCGCGCACACCGCCGATCTCGCTTTGCACGCCGAAGCCGTCGAGGCCATGGACGACCTGTACCAGTCGACTGTCGCAGGCCACGAAGCGACGACAAGGTACCTCGAGTGGCAGCTCCAAACCGTCACTTTGAGCTTTTTGTGTCGAACTTGAGCCGTAACCTATCGTAATTATCAACTCATTTATTCTTTCATAACGCATTGACGAGCATTTGCCGTACCGACAAGGTATCTTCCGCTACGAGATGATACTCGACAGCAAGGCTACACGAGGGAAAGGGGAGGGGTGGGTTTAGCGGAAACGACCATGTTGTCTAAAGTCCTTGCGATGCGCCCATGTGAATGAGAAACCAAATGCAAAAGTCGCGTTTAACAATTGGAGCATGGATAATGGTGGCTCTTAAGAACATTGGGCGTCGACTCAAACGACGACAGTGCGGTAGCGCAGAGCGTAGAAACTGATCGAACCTGCGGCCAGGAGGACCGAGATCAAAAGCACATAGAGGCGCAGCGTCAAGCTACATCGCGACGGTAAGAAATCAACGTGATCAACATGCAAGAGTTAGTACCTGAGGTACTTGAGCAAGAAGAAGACCAAGCTCGCCGACGCCGAGTGATACACTTGAAAGAGCGAGAACGCCGTCATGGCATCTTCCGAAAACTCTTGCCCAAGCACAACTACACGTGCGATCAGACCTTATGTATCAATGAATCAAGCAGAACCAACCGTTGGCGAGGGTGCAGGACGCTAGCATCATAAACATGAGTACCGGTCTAGAGAAGGCATCAAGTACCTGCATCGCCGAGGCTGAGCAAAACCGCCGACGATAGAATCAGTGCCCACTGGCCGTCGCATTTGGCTATCGGCGCCCAGAGACAGAGACCATAGACAATAGCCTGGGCAGTGCAGCCGAGTACTTGGGCCCACATGGTGCCGACCCTACACCCCGTCATGACCCTCCGACATATCAGGAAACAAGGACAACTTGTCTGCAAGCCGTCCAATGCCAATCGAAAAGAGAACGTTGGTCGCGCCAAAGACAGCCATGACGTAGCCGATCGACGCTTCGCCGAGCGACTCGCGAATAAAGTTGGTCGTGAATTCGGACGACGTAAAGCCTTGCTGGATGCCGTTGAAGAGCATGAGCGGCGCAAGCACGACCATGCGCCTAGCAGCATACTGTCGTGTCAGTATTGGACGAATGCAAGCAATGCACGCACGGGTCTTTGGCCAAGGCAAGGACAGCTCGGATCGAGAGCGACGACGACGATGGCGATGCTACCGGCAGCAGCTTGGACGTCTCGTGGGGCAGCGCCATGGGCTAAGCATCAAGCATTGCTCGCTCCAACTGCCAAGAGAAGGAAGGATCGGTACCTTGTGCAGCGGCTCGAGGAAGCACAGGAGAAACGTGCCAAGGAACGAGAGCGTCGCATACAGCGTGAAGAGCGACGCCGTGGACCTGAAATATCCAGTTGAATTCTGTGTTAGACCGCTGTAAATGGGACGCACCACTGCAGCGAGCCAAGCACATACGACGACAAGACGTTGCCCGTGAGCTGGCTCACCTTGAAGATGGCAAAGAACGTGCCTGATGTCAAAAATGGTACATGTACAATCGACAATGAGGGACGCACCGTTCATAAACCCCATCGAGCTTGTTTCCGGAAGGTGCTTGAATTGGGCGTAGTAGACACTGAGACGCGTGAGGTAGCTCCCCTACCCCAAGCCAGAACGATACACCACACGATGAGAATAGGGTCTTACGTTGCAGACCCAGAGCACCGAGGCCGCAAACCCAATGAGCGCCGAGGCTGGAATGAGGACCCACCAGTGCAGCGTCGTCGCTGTCGGGTTGAGCGCCACGACGATGTTGGCGACCGCAAACAGTCCGCTACACCAATGGAATCAGTCTCCGATGTCGTCTCCATAGCAAAAAGCAGATCAAAGAGCGTACTAGCACGCTGAGCTGCCGACCAAGCTGAGTTTTTCGCCAATGAGATCTATGCCACAAATCCGTGAGCCGGCTGCCCACCTGAATTCACATATCGTACTCGGGATGACAGGCCCAAAGAACGACGCCGCCATAAAGACGAGGTAGATGACGCCCAGTGTCGTGCTGCCCAGCGTGGCTAGTACAAGAGGTCACATGCGCGCCACGATTAAGCGCCGGTGTACATTTGCACTCCTCAAACGGCGCCTCGCACGCCACGTCGCAAGAGAACTGAACCTTGGCCGCGCACACGTCACCGAGCTGGCACACGGCGTCGGACAGCGAGACCGCGCAGCCGTCGCACGTGCCTACTAGTACGCCACGGTGAGCCATTGCAGCAGGACGCAACGCGACCAGGAATGATCGACGTCTCGAGGTTCTACGACACGACATAAGCATGAGGCGGGTGGTAGACGGAAGGCGCCATACCTCGATGGCATTGTACGAGGTGAAGACGAGGAGGAACGAGAACGAAAGCACAAGGAGCCCGCGAAGGCAGTCGCGGACGCTGTGCATGCTGCTCTGAAGCGGCGACAATTGGCAACTGCGGCCGATGATAGGCTTGCTGTTCTGGTTGTTTGAAGTACATTCATGCCAAAAAAGGGTTTCTATGAAATAAAAGGGTACAACATTGGCTGCAACGTCAGAAAGGGGTGGATATGGCGCGGGATGGGTACAGAAAGGGGTGGATATGGCGCGGGATGGGTACTGTACGATGGCCTGCACCATCGTACTACCCTCGGCTCTCACTACAACCCACTTGAATGGACAGAGCTGATTATGGCCACTGACGGGTCGAGCTGCTTGCAGTCTCAACGCGCCAACGGGGCCCTAATGACGGATTGAATAGGGAAAGCGAGTCCGTTTATGTTGTTCTATTATGCAGCATGGCAGCCCTTGCCGCCGGCAATGACCATGCACATGGTCGACTCGAACATGGAGAGGAGACTCGCCACAATCGAGTAGAGCAGCACAAGGCAACAAAAGCCAAGCACGGCGCCGCCGACGCGCGGGTACTTGCCGCTCGTGACTTGGAGTTCGTGGAGCTCGGACTTTTGGCTCGGCAGCAGCACGACGCAAAAGCACGCAAGGACCGTCGTGGCGTAGTAAATGATGTACGTGGCAGCGACTTGGTTGCGCGTCGTCGGCGAGTCGGCGGCAATGGCTTCAGCGCTCACGTCAAACGAGCCAAAGACGACATTAGCCACGACCGGGCCAAAGGCCGCGGGGAGGTTCGAGACCGTTGTGAGGAGGCCGTACACGACGCCTTCGTTGCCGACTTCAGCGAGCTCGACAATGACAAACGTCGTGACAATGAACTGCATCGCGTACGGTAAATTCTCGGCCAGCGGGACGCCAATGTAAAACCACTGGTTGCGGACAAGATCGTAGATGGTGCAGAACTGCACGACAGCATCGATGACGTTGGCGCTGAGCGTCGTCGTCACGAGCACGATTTTCCAGTTCCAGAGCGTGCCGTACTTGCCCATGAAGCCGAGGACACCGGCAAAGATGAAGTTGCCGAGGATACCGGTGAGCTGGGTGTTGACATTCTCGACTTTAGCCCATTCGTACATGACGTACGGCGCGGCGGTCGACGTCACGCCGGCGTTGAGGAGGTTGAAGAGAAAGCTGAAGAGCATGATCTGCCACGTGGCGCGCTTCTGGACCAAGTCCCAAAATTGCAGCACGTACTGCTTCAAATTGACGCGCGGCGATGGTGTCTCGAGCACAAAGAGGTACGTGATCGGGAGCATCGCGCCGGATGTAATCGCAAGCAGCATGAACATGGTGTTGGCACCCATGTCCCACGAATACGAGCCGGCAAAGCGCGGCGAGTTGAGGCAAAACCCAATCAGCGCCGTTGAAATGCACGACGCGATTGTCCGCGTGAGGTAGATGAGCGACTGCATGCGACCGCGGATCGCTTCCGGCTCCCGCTGCGCGAGCTCGACGACGAGCGCGTCGGCCGGGACGTCCGAGATGACGTACGAGAGAGTGCCCCACGCACAGAGGATAACGACGATACCGCCGGTGGTCGCCGCGTGCGGGTTGATGTTGGTCGTGTTGATGGGCCCGCGACTCGACGATGCATCGCGAAAGAACGGGTCGCCCATGTCCATGGTGGCGAGGACGAGCATCGAGGCGAGGCAGGACGTCCATCCGATGAGCATGTACGGCTTGCGCCGGTAGCCCACGATCGGGACGCAGTCGGAGAGGATACCGACAAACGCCTTGAGCGACCAGCCAAGACCGATGAGCACCTTGGCCGAGTTGAATTGGTTGCCCGTGAGGTGGAAGTAGCCGACGAAGAGTGGGTAGAGCAAGTTGGGCATCGCGCCATAGAGCAGCCCGACGGCAACGTACTGTGCGAGGAGCCCGAGTACCTCGGCGCTCTTGTAGTCGGGGGGTGGACCTGCCCGCAGCGCGCCATTCTCGAGTCCGAGCGGCGTGTCCATGACGCCGTACGCATCTTGCTTGGACGTCGGCGACGAGACGTACGACAAGCGCTCCTCCGCGGGATGCTGCATCGAGCCGGACCAAAATGATGCGCTCGCAAAGGAATCCCGGCGCCACGCTGCGACATGTGCCAGGCGACACCATTCGTATCCGGACGCGACGCTCCGCACAAGTCGTTTGTATCGTTGTATCCGGACCTGAGACAGTCCCAAGAGCAATTTGCAGCGACGTGACGGCAGTCTCCTCTTGCGGCGCGCACGCTCGGAAGGATTGCTGTGGAGTTTCTTTGGCCAGTTTGCCAGGTCCATCACCTTGCACACGTTCACTCTACTAATGCGTTGAGGCGGGACTCCATCTCGTTTTGGCGAGGTGTGCGAAAGCTCTCGTCTGGGGACTCGGCTCGTCCTCGACGATCTTTGAGGCGTTCTAACGTTATCGTTACTATCATCTTGCATTTAGTTCTAGTGCGATGCCTCCTGGCTTGACCATAATAGAGAGAGCGTTCAAAGTCTAGTTTGTGAGTCTCGTGTCACCTCTGACTTGGCGCCTTGATCCCCCATGGGACTCTGAGATTTCAGATTCATTGCTGCAGTTCCAAGTGGTGGCGATCAGCCGGGTCGTCCCTGCCAGGGGCTTTTGCGACCATGAAGGAATCTCGCTGCTTAACATGCAAATCGAAATCTTCACCATGAGCCGCTTCTTGCCATGGCGGCTGTCGTCGTCGCCGCGGTCCTCCACTAAGCTAAGGTGTGACCAAGCCAGTGCATTTCGGCGTGTAGTATTTGCGCGAAGTTCTGGCATTGTGTCGCGCAAAACCGCAGGATTGTAAAATTAGCCGCTCGATCGCCGCATGCACCACCCGCTGTCCAAGCATCAATGGCTCGTCAACGAAGCTGCGATCGCTGCCATCACGCACGCCGACGGTCTTAGCCCTGCGCACGTACGTCGCCGTTCTCTTGCATTTTCTCGGACGCTCACGCGACCGCAGAAATCGTCCATGGAGGTGGCCGAGCTCGAGCAAGTGTACAAGGTGTTTCTCTTCTACGACTCGTCCTTCCATGGCGACCAGCACGTCTTGCATCAGCTTGACGTTGTGTTCACATGGCCATGAGTAGGATTCCGTCCATCAACCTCGCGCGGTTCCTCGAAATCATGCGCGACGCCCACATTTTGTCGGCCAACTTTTCGGAGCTCCACGTCTGTTCGCTCTTTCTCCTGCGCTATACTAGTAGTTTTTGGCGTAGGCAGAAGAGATCTTTGCCACAGCGATGCTCGGGAAGCTTCGCACGTACCTCGATGCGGGTACCTGCTACGGTCTACGCGGTGGCTCTGACACATATGGCGTAGACGGCGCGCCCGCGCTCTCCTTCAAGCTCTTTTGCGGGGCACTCATGCAAGCTGCCATCGTCAAGGTGGGTTTTCGGCATTGCGTTGTGCACAACACGACTACGGGACAATTTCGTGTTTAGTTTCCGGGTATTTCGCCGAATTTGGCACTGCGCAAGCTCGTGCGCCGTCACTTGTTTTCTGTGTTTAACGACGTTCTCGTTGAGCCGGATGGATCGAGCCGGCGCCGAAGCATTGCGATGGCGCTCGCCGACGCCTACTGGCGGCCATCGGAAGCGCGCGGCGAGGCCAAACTCACCAACAGCCGCCGGTACGCGTGCCTGCTTTCCAAGAATGGGGGCCACCTACTCGGTAGCATTTCACAAGTTGTGTACGACAAGGTCGTGAGTCGAATCAACCCGTCGCCCGCCGCCATCGTGACCGAAGCTGGTGAGCCTCGTAGCATGTTATATTGACACGTCACGAGGTTCTAGACATTCCCCTGGACGTCCGCGAGCATTTTTCCGAAGCCAACTACCGCGTTATCGTCGACCGCTTCCACTTGTTTGACCACATGGAGGCCGGCGTCCTCGACCACGAAGACGTTTTTGTCTACTTGCACGGCCTCACCGAAACGTTTGCCATTCGCGACGTGCAGCATGCAACCGAGCGTCTCACGTCGTTTCCCTCCAACCGCGTCACGTTGCCGTTTGTCTTCAAAGTGCTTTCAACCCACGTCGAGCGCGATCCCGGCGCGCCACCGCTGCCGTGCGACGACGACGAGACAACCGACGAGATGGACACTGAGGAGAAGCAGAACGGAGAGATTCTGCCGGCGCCATTGACGCTTCCGGTCCATTCCAGCTCCGAGGTGGTGACGCCGCGCACGCCGCACAACACGCTGCTCGGCATCTCGGTGAACACACACGACGACCATTGGGACGTCCGCACCGAGGTCGTAGCGATGCGGTATGCGTTAAAGTTACCAAGGAGTATCTGTAGACTGCACCGAGTGAGAATACGCGACGGATGAGCATTGAAGGTCTCTTGCAGCCGCGGTTTGATGCCAAGACTGTGGACAGCATCATCCAGCGCATCACCATCACCAACGCCAGCGAAAAGAAAAAGGCAAAGAAGATATCACTGGAGCCGCAGCTGCCGCGGATCGTGCTCTCGATCGACGAGGCCATTTCCGGTGTCACCAAGTTTTGGGAAGGCCGCATCCGTGGATGCCGCGTCATTGAGAGCGCGGGGATTCTCCAAGGGTGAGCGACTTTATTGTGCTCGACGTGGCCGACGCGATGTAGGGGCGAACAGCGCATGATGACCGAGGCGAGTACGCGCATGAACTCGGAAGAGTCGGCGCTCTTGCTCTTGCACCACCGCGTTCGGGCGCGCCTCAAAGGCGGCTACAGAATCATCGAAGGCAAGCGGTTTTTGCCCGACGACGCCAACGTGCCCAAGCCCATTGTCGTCGAACGAAAGAGAGCATCGCTGGAAAAGGGCAGCACGGTCGTGCGCTCGACGCCCAATCTGCCGCTGTACCCGGCGACGCACCATCGCGCGCTGTACCAAACGTCCACATATGCACTTCCCGACGAGTGGGTGCCACCCCCCGAGCTCACGCCCCCCGTACGCCCCCGCCCCGAGCATATGCTAAACGTGAATCGCTGTCCTAGGACACGTCGTGGGTGCATGGAAGCTTTTCGTCGCCAATCGCTTCTGAAGTCGCTCGAGTCGACTACTGCCTGTGACTGATGAACAATTGTTGTAGCGTACTCGACCCCAAAGCAACCAGCGAGTACAAGGCCACATGTACCTTCGATCCCCCAAACAGCACCGTGTGGAGCCATTGACATCTCGACCCAGTCCAATATGAGACATTGTTCTGTGTGCAGAGACTTTTTACCGTTCTACTTACAACTAAATGTCGAGCTGCGTCAACATGGCGACACCCCGTCGGATCCAGTGTTTTTGGTTGTGCTCGGGCGCCATCGGGATGCGCAGGAACATGACAAAGTTGGTCGAGTGCCCTGTCGTCGAAAGCGTACCTTGGCGCAAACTGGTCTTGTAGACAGGACACATGTACACGTGGGCAGTGCCTTTCGGGTCGCTGTCCTTGACGGGCTCGATCGCGTCGCGGCGCTTGGGTAAGAGCAAGATGACGGGCATCGCAACGTGCAGCTCGCGGTGACGCGACTCGGCGATCGCCATAATGCCGTTGTCCCAGCGCGCACCCTCCATGAAGAGGCCATTGATAAAGGCTCCATCTTCGGCTTTGGACGTGATGGCGTCCGAGGCCGCCAGCGTCAGCACTTGCATGTCGTACCCGACCTACTTGAATGCGTCCACAAGTGATGACGCAGCACAATCCTACCTGGTCGATGGGCTGCTGGTGCTTTCGGGCGTAATTTTGAAGCGTGCCTGTGATGAAGGCTTGCGTGAAGAAGAAGCCCGAGACCCAATAGATCGTCGGTGACTGCTTCGCATCGATCCACGCTTGCAAAAACGAGAGGCGTGCAAGAAAGTCCGTGACCCAGCTGCCGAGCGGCTTGAGCGACGGGTACGCGACGCTCGCCCACATACCGGGCACTTGGCCGTTGACCATCGAATTGCCCATCGCCTCCAGCTCGGCCGAGAGGACGACGAGCCCTTTCAGCGCACGCTGGACTTCCTTGAGGCTCCGCGAGATGATCACGATGAGTTTGTTGAAGCGAATGAGCTCTTGCGTCAGCACCGTGTTCATGCTCTCTTCGTAACACACGGGAAAGTCGAGATCGGCCTTTTCAATATCAAAGACGGGCGGAATGCGACTGCCAATGTCGGCCGCGACTTCGGCGAGCGACTGGTCCCAGGACTTGCCACCACCGCCGCTGCTTCGCGGCTGGAGCGAGAGCGCCGACTCCAAGAGGAGATTGGTTTCAGCGATCGCACATGAAATGTTGGCGTTGTCGTGCAAGCCAAAGATCTCGGGGCCTTCGTTCATTGGGAGTTGATCAATGTAGTCGAGGTACGTTTGCAGTGGGCCATTGCCGGGCGCAAAGTAGAGCCCGGACGGGCTAAACTTGTACGTGTCGTCCTGGATGAGCGGCGTGTAAAAGTCCGAGAGCGTATTGACAATGCAGCGCCGATCCTTGTCGTCCGTGACGCGGCCGCCATAGTTGCACTCGCCGGCGAGGTACCCAAGCGCTGCGTACGGAATTGCGTCGCTTCCGTTGAGGTCGTCGAGGCAGATCTTGAGCTGGTCCTTGGAAATATTGAGGTCCGAGCCCGAAAACACATACTTGATATTCCAACCAAGCGGGCCAAACTTGGTGCGTTCACGGACCGTCGCATGAAAGAAACACAAGCCAAAGAGAAGCTTCTTGAATTCGACGGGACGCGAGCACGAGCTGAGCCAGTCGTCCGAGAAAGTGAGATAACTCCCCTTCAAGTTGGCACGCATGCCTTTTGGTGGTTCGTTGGTCATTTTGACTCCGTTTTGCAGAATAAAGGGCGGGAATTGCCGCGACGGCTCGGACGTGAGCCACAAACGGAACGACGCGTGGACGCGATCTGGCGTGATCTCTTCACAGAGTCGTTCGAGCGTCGGGAGCCAACTTACGCTGAGATGGCAGTTTTGGAGGCAAACCCAGTTGCCATTGTCGATGGCTTCCGCGATCGCATTTTCCGCAAGGGGGCCCTGCCCCTGCCCCAGCGAAATAGCGACAAACTTTTTCGTAAAGCCCATCTCGGCCGCGAGCTTGAGGAGCTCCGACATGGGGTCTGCACCGGGCGTGAGCACAAAGATGAGCGGTGTCGCGCACGTCGAGTCGTCGTAGCCGGCTTTCAGATCAAACGGCTGCGGCTCGATAAAGCGCTGGCCCATTTGCGCTGCGACAAACAGCATGACGCTCGGTACGACCTTGTCCGGCCGGAAGCAGCGCAGCACAACGAGGCGCTGGAACGAGTCGTACGAGGCCATGGACGGGATCTGCATCATGTCGACTGCCGGGTCCTGCGAGTTGTAGCACGTGGCCCAGAGCGCCAGCTCGGATACAAACGTGTCGCCAAAGTTGGGGAACGCCGGAAGGTTCTCGAGCCCAACGACGTCGGCCCACGTCTTCATGCTCATCCAATTCGGGCACGGATTCGGTTTGCTCGAGTCCATTGCCGTGTTGCCCGTGAAGAAATACCGGAGGTCACCCGGCGTAATCGTCTTGTTGCCCGTGAGGATCTTGACGGTGAGCAGGAACGCAAAGAGGAGCTTGTCCTTCTCAAAAAGCGACCGGCACACGTTGACGTACAAGGTGTACGTAAACTGCTCGTTGAGGTTCACGAGCCGCTTGGCCAAGTCGGCGCTCTTCTCAGCACGTGCAATCGAGTAGACAAAGAGCTGAATGAACCACTCGAGCGCATACTGGTACATGGGGTCAATCACCGAGAGGTCGGCGATGCAGAAAAAGAGCTGTGACGCGCGGAACGCCACGGGTGTGTACCCCGCCCGCTTCTCGGCAATGATGAGTTGGGTCGCGGCGGCCTCCTGAACCTTGATTTCGATCGTATTCGCCGTGATCTTGGAGGCTCCGAGGGTCTCAATGAGCCGTTCGTCGTTCAGAATGTTGCCCTCGGCCGTCTGCAGCATGTGGAGAATCTTGTCTTCGATTTCTTTCAGAGTCTTCTTGTTGGCCGCATCCTCGAGCACGAGCTTTTCTCGCTGCGCTTCGAGTACTGGCTCTTCTTTGGCAACGACGATACCGAGCATTTGGTCCTGGAGCCCTTCCTCAGTCGCCATAAAGTTGAGCAAGTTGACTTTGACGCACGTCTCCGGTGCGTAATGCGGGTTCCGGAGCTTGGTCGTCATGTACAGTCGAAAGTTGGGGTCGTACTCGACCGTGTTGTCGCCGAGTCGGATCGTGAGCACGCCACCAGCCTTGACAATCTGCTTGAGCAAGACCGGCTCGAGCATTGGGTCGATTTCTTCTGCGAGGTTCTCGATAAGCATGGGCGCGCCGACGACAATGGCGTTCTCGAGCGCGCGGACGAACCCGGCTTGCGTGAGCTTGACGACCTTGAGACTACTCGACTTCTCCTCCATGTTTTTGACCCACCGATTCGCTTGGCCTTGCGGATCAATCATCTACACAAGTTGCACATTATATCCATCCATTTGTGTACATATCGAGACGTACAAGGGGCCAGCGGTTGCTTCGAAAGAGCATGATGGCATTGTCAATCGAGAACGAGTCGTTCGGGAGCTTGCAGATGGTCCACTCGCGAATCTTCACAGGGTCGCCGAGCGTCGTCGTCAAGCTGTACTTGTCCGAGCACGTAATGCCCTTCATCTGCAGCTGCTCGCTCCAATGCTCTACGGCGTTTTCGCGGAAGGCCGATGTGAACGCGCCGAGGTACGCGATGACGCCGCTACTGAGCATGATGTCGCCAATGACATTGTCGTACACAATCTGGAGCTTGGCGCTCATCTCTTGCCAGCGCGAGCGCTCGCCGCCAAGACCGCCAATGAGTTGGTTGGCGCGAATAAGCTTTTTGCTGCAATCATCGACCTGGAATTGCAAGTCCGCCTTCTTCTTCATGGCGCCCGCAAGGTCGGCCTCGAGGCGTGCGACCTTGTCGAGCACGACCTGGAGCGCGTCTTGCTTGGCCTTGAGGTTGGTTTGTGCCGCTTCCAGCTGCAATGTCGCCGCTTTGAGCGCTTCACGCTTAGGCGCTACCACTTTCGAGACGCGGTTGTACACGGCCATCGCATGCACCCACGAGCAGAGACCGGACGCAGCCACGGAGGCCTTCTTGATGATTGGCGGTGAAAAGTCCGGGTTCTCGGCATACGGCCGAACCTTCTCGGCGATTTCAGCCGAGATGTTGTCCTTGTCGTAGTCGAGGAGGTTTTGCAAAAAGCGCGTGTCGTTCAGTAGCGTTTTCTGAGCCGGGCCCCAGTAGTCGTCGATCTTTTTCGTACCGCCCGCGGGGTCCTTGATCTTGAGCGGTGCGACACTCATCATGATGCACACGGCCTCCATGACGAGCTTGACGCCGTCTGGCGGCTTCTTCATGGCCTTGACCTCGGTGATATCACCTTTCGTCAGCGTCTGGAGCGCCTTGACAGCCGACTCGAGCGCTGGAATCGCCTCGGCCAAGCCGGCCTCGCACTGTGTCTTGATCTCCATCGCCGCCGCGGCTTGCTCATTGCACTGCGCCTCTTCGGCGGCGACGACTGTCTTGGTCGCATTCGCGTCTTTTTGCTCGCGCGCAATCGTCTCAAGAAGCGCGTCCGTCTCGACCGTGGCGACCTTGAGCATTGGTTGGAGCGCTTCGAGCTCGACTTGCATCTTTTCGACTTGGTCGGCCGTCTCCATGAGCTTGGTCAAGCCGTTGTCGTAGCGCTGTTTCATTTGACTCACTTCCATGCGCTTCGTGTTGAGGAGCTTCTTGAACGTGTTGATGAGCTCAAGGTACGACGTCGGCGTCACGTAGTAGTGCCGGCGCAAGCTCTGGAGAAAGTCGCGCGACATCATCGAGACACGTTCTTGCATATCGACGCACACATCGACGAGGCCAATCTTCATCTTGGACGGCATTTCAATGTCGACGAGAAAGTGGTCGGCGACACTGCGAAGGGCCTCTTCCGGCCACTCGGTGAACCAATCGATCGTGCAGCAGTTGACAAGCGACGGAAACATGCGCAGGCGCCGACGGAACGCGTCGCCGATCGGACTCAGCGCCAGCACAACATGCAAGTTCGTGCGGCACCGACTGACAAAGAAGTTGTAGACCTCGGCGGCATTGCTCGTATTGAGACCCGCGGCGTTCGCAGCGCTCTCGACGCCTTCGTTGATGGTCATGAGCTCGTCGTTGGCCCAGAGATTCGCGACTTCGCCCGTGTTGAGGATGCCGTTGATGTCCTCGAGGTACGACTCCTCGACGATCTGCGTGTCTGAAAAGAGAAAGACTGTCGGCTGGTTCGAGACACCACTGAGCTGGAGCACCTTTTTCAAGTCGTTGCGCCAATCGTTGCGCGAGTAGGACTTGGAGATTTCAATCTGGAAGAGCTTAAAGTCGGCCATAAACACCGCGAGCGTCGTGAGGGACTTGCGACCGCTGCCGCCGACGCCGACGAGAAGCGAGTTGCCGTACGGCTGGTGGATGACACGCGAGATGCGCGCGACGTGCTCGATCGCGTTCTGGAACAGCACGAGCCTCATGGGCGCCGACGTCATGTTGTTAAAGTCCTCGAGAAAGAGCGTCATGGATTTCTGGAGCGTGTCACGGTCCCGGAGCTCGGCGTAGATCTTCTTGGTCGACTTGGCGTCTCCGAAATTCCCGTAAATGAGCACTTCGTTCGGCCCCCGGACGTCCTTGACGTAGTTGAGCGTAAAGTGCGTCTGAACGGTCTCGCCGAGTACGTTGAGGAACCACGACCGGTCGCTTTGGTCAATGAGACGGTCGTGAAAGACACGGAGGCACTCGTGACTCCATAGCCGCACCACGTCTTTGGCATCCTTGAGCACATCGGGGGTACCGAGCGAGATGCCCTGAAACACCTTGGAGAGATCGCGCAGGTTGAAGGTGTAGTGTGACTTGGCCGGCGTCGGCAGCAGCGTCGATGAAATGTTGTCGTAAATGTCGATCGTTGCCGCGACGACGGGCGTGGTCATGGCCTTGATGGACGCCGGAAAGTTCATGAGGAACCAGTCCGAGATTTTGGAAAAGATGAGCTTGAGGCTCGTCGAGTCGAACGACACAAAGTTGATCAAGTTGAAGTACCGAATGTAGCGCTGCGTGATCTTGGTGCGCCCGCCGCCCGGTGGGCCCATGGCCGCGATAAACTGCACGTCCACGAGCTGCAAGAACGTATTGTCCTTGCGGTTGTACCACCCGCCATGACCCATCCACTGCCGGAGGAGCTCAATCGGCGGCTGCGCGCCGTACGTCTCTTTGGCCGGCATGTTGAGATCGTCGACGAAAATGACGCAGCTCATGCCGAGCGGCGGCCCCAAGACGCCTTTGCGGCGCTTATCGAGCTTGGACTCGATGATGTCTTGGGTCTGGTTGGCGCTGGTTTGGGCGCTAAAGTTCATAAAGATGGACGAAAACGTCTCGTTCAGCCCTGTGAGCAGCTTCTTCTTGATCGAAACGGACTTGCCCGTGCCCGTGTCGCCCGTTGCGAGCACGTGGTGGTGGTGCGTCAAGAGTGTGTCGAGAATCCACGAGTTGCGCTCCGTATCGATCGTGGGCACCAAGATCGACGTAAACGGCATGTCGCGCGGGATCGCGGCAGTCGACGCCGACTCCATCCAGTTGACCCACGTCGCCTTCTTGCCGTCAAAGCGATAGTCGTACACGATGCCTTCGTCTGGAAACGCGGCGGTCGTTGCGCGCGGCGCAACCGCATACGAAGGGTTCTTGAGCCGAAAGTTGGCGTACGCTTCGTTGTTGCTGCTGTCGATCGTACCGGACGTGAGCGCGCGGAGGTACAAATCGAATGCGACGCGCGACTTGGCGTCGACGCACGCACCGAGCGACCACACGAGAGCTTTCAAAAACATGCCTTCGAGGACGCCGCGAATGTCGGACGAGAGGTTGGCGATTGGCACGTCGAGGATGCAGCCAAAGAGACGAATCAAGCTCGCGACGAGCTCGAGAAAAGTCACGGACGTGGGCACAATGCAGTTTTTGTCGACAAAAAAGAGTAGCGGCGGCACGAGCCACTCGAACAGGTTTTGAATAAACGCTGACTGTGCCTTCAAGTCGCTTGGTAGAAAGTGCTCGAGCCTACATATATATCCCTTTGGTAGTTGCTCGCAAATGGAACATTTGTGTACCAGGTTTTCAGCAGAGTCTCCCAGCCGAGGTTCTTTGGCTCGAGAAAGACCATGCCGACGCGACTGACGGTCGCCGGACTCGCCTCTTCGAGGTCCTCGGTCTCGAACATCATGGTCATGCGGTCCGTCATTTTCACAATCTCGCCGCTCATCAAGCATAGCTTCTTGTTGTCGTCCAAGACGGTGTTCATGTTCTCGATCCAAACCGCGTCGACGGGACCGTCAAACATGACCCATTGCCGGTCGTCGGTTGTGTCGCGTGCGCAGTCGCGATACGTCTTGGCCAAGACACCGTCGCTCCACTCGTGTGTATTTTCATCAAAGTTGCCGTAGAGCTGGCCGGACGTGATCGACTTGGGGTTCATCGTGTGCACGTGCACGAGCGACTGCGACTTGCCCTCGCTTTCGTTGTAAACGGCTGTGATGGCGGCCGCCAACGTATGAACAATGCACGTCTTGCCACTGCCCGTGATACCAACGACCATGAGCCCATGACGTACAAGTACCTACGAGGAAACGACTCGTTGGCACCTGTACCGGACTGTACATGGTGAAGTCGCACGGTTTCGTAGAGCTGGATGACTTTTTGACGAAACTCGGCCTTGGGTTGCAGCTTGGTGAGCGAGTCGGGCGCGATGCTGATGCCTTGTGTGCACATGAGGTTGATCATCGGGATGAGGCGGCCGTGGTCTGGCGACGGGATCTCGGCGCCCGGAAACAAGTCGGACGTAATGCCTCGGAAGAGCGGCAGATCATCGGTCGTAAACTTTGGCAAGTTGACATCCTGCACCGACCTACGTGTGGACCCGTCACGATCGTTCATTTAGGACGAAGCGCACCGCAAGACAATCTTGTCTTCGGTCCAGAACGGGTCGTCGCCGAGCTGTTGACGAAGGTTCCCGGCCGCGACGAGAATCGAATTGACGGCGCGCATGCCATAGTCGTAGTGTTTTTGCGAACTCAGCTGCTCGGAGCTGAGCTGGAGCACTTGCGTGAGCTTGCGTGCATTGGCCCGAGCGTTGGCAAACCCAAACGAGTAGAGACGGATCTCCGAGATGAGCGCATAGTCGGGTACCATCATAGCACATGGGCGAAAGAGTGCCTTGAGGTTATCGGGGAGCTCGGCACGCCCAGCGTAGCCTACGATTGCGAGGTTCTATTTAGTTGCCAAGAGAAGATAAAGACGTACCGGGGTTCATGGTAATGAAGACGTTGGCGCTCGCATTGAGCTTGATGTATGTGCCTTCAAACATAAACTTGTCCACGTTGGCCTTCTTGCCCTCGTTGATGGTCAAAATCTGCTGCGCAATGACACTGAGCACTTCGATGTTGATGCGGTTGAACTCGTCAAAGCAACACCACGAGCCGCAGCCCGCAAGGCCCTTGAAGAACTTGGCCATGGCGAGGTAGTCAAGACCGTCGGAGCAGTTGAAGACGACGCACTGGATTGCAATGGCTTTGGAGAGATCCTTGACAGTCTCGGTCTTGCCCGTGCCGGCTGGTCCCTCGGGCGCACCGCCTACATTGGTACGGTGAGAGCATATAACGGCTCGATACGATACCATAAAGCAAGTCGATGGCTCCCATCATCGTGCGGTAGCAACGATCGGTGAGCGGCGTAATCACGAGGCGCATCGTGTTGCCGAGGTACTCGTAGCCGTACTTGACGCGTGCATTCACAATGCGTGCTTGGAGGTCAAACTGCTTGGCGACCTTGGCGCCTTCGATCCAGTAGTAGCGCAGCTGCGAGATCCACTCAAAGTCCTGGTCGTTCTCAACGCCCTTCGCAATCATGTGTGCGATCGTGTCTATAAACCAGGCCATCTCTAAAATGTACATGTTCAACCAGAAAGTACCTCGAGCGTGGACGTCAATGACAACGAGCGCACCAATCGTTGTGCGCTCCAGCTTGGTCAAGTTACCACGCACGAGCATGACGACTTTATCGAGCTGCGTGTTGAGCACTTGCACGTACTCCTTGAGTCCTTCGTTGCCCTTGGACGTGATGGCTTCGTTGACTTCGGTCGTCCAGTACACCTGCGACGCGCCGAGCACAACTTGGGCGGGCCATTGCAAGATCCACTGCTCGCGGATGACCTACGCACCTATCAGTGTCTGAAGACATGCAATCACCCATGTACCTGGGGGTAGGTACCGATCGCGCGCGCCGTGTGGTCGCGGATCGTGTCCCATTGGTTGATTTCGAGCTCAAGCAACCACATTTCGACGTTGCCCTTGTTCTTAGCACTCTCGGGGTTGACGGTCGTTTTGAGCGTCACGACCTCGCCTTGGCTCGAGATCATCTCGGTGATCAAGAGGACGTTCGTAAACGTGACCTTGTTGATGCCTTCAAAGCACTTGCCAAGGTGTGGCTGGACGGCCTTTGGCTCCTTCGTCTGGCTGAGGATCTCGAGGAGTTCGTCGTTGGAGAGGAAGAAGAAGCGGGGAAAGTACAGGCGCTTCATCTCGAGGTAGTCGTTCAAACCTTTCTGGATCTCGTCGAGCTTTTCGTTGGCCTTTTGAAACTTTTGGAGCAGCTTGTCCATGTTGATGACGTTCATAAAGTTGGGGTCCGCGACCGTGTCTTCCATGGTTTTGCGCCAGAGTGCATCAACGGACGCGAACCGCCGCGCTTCGGTCGGCATTTGTCGCATGATATCCTCCGAGCTGAAGATTGCTTCGAGGTACAGCCACGTGCGCTGGCAGCTCATCCACTCGTCAATGAGCTGCTGGGAGTATTGGAGCTTTTTCTCCCACGCTTTGCACTCCTTCTCAATGTTCTTGACGTACGGAGACCCGCGCATTGTCTGCGTCTTGACAATGTGGTCGTCGAGGAGCGCGATAATGTCGTCCACGCTCTTGATGAGGTACGTGCCCGTCTCGCGGTATGGCAGACACTCAAACTCGATGGGTTCCCACTCGCTGATCATCGCGCTGAGGTTCTTCTCGAGCGTATACTCCTTCTCCGCGACCATGCTCACTTCTTGGATCGTATCAATGTGCTGGGTGATTCCCTTCTCGAGCAGCTGGGCGAGTGTGAGCTCTTCGTCCGTCTCTTCGAGTCCAATCTTGTTGCGAAGCAGCTCCCAGTGGCGCTCCCGAAGCGCTGGCGACGCCAGCGACTGGATCACTGGCAAGTACGCTCGGAATTCGTCCGTGCGCTCGCGCAAGATGAGCGCAACCTCGGCCGACCCTGGTGCTTCCTCGGCGAGCTGCTTGCTGAGCTTGTAGCTTGCCTTCCACCACTCGGTGACATTGGCTTCGATCTCCCCGCCCTTGAGCTCAAGGAACGGACCGGTGAGCCACGCTTGCTTGTTGACGTTGAACTCGGCGCACATGGTCCAGAGCTTGTAGTACGGATTGAAGTCCGCTTCGAGCTTCGTGATCATCGCATACTCGGTCGGGCGGAACCCAAAGACGGCTTCGCGCTGGTTAAAGTTGTCGGCCTTGAGCTTTGCTTCACAGATCGCATCGTACAACGTGGACGCCATCTCGACGTACTTGTCCTACACAAACGTCTTAGAATATGGTGCTCGTGTAGCATGGGTGCGCACCGTCATGTCGATTTCCCCGTACGACCGAAAGAGTCCAACATCCTTCTCAAAGCGCTCGAGGTCGACTTCAAACGCCTCCTTCTCCATTGCCAGCTTGTCCATCATGCGGATCTTGTCTTCTTCGAGAGCTGAGTCGCACGTGTCGGCGGCATGCGCAACGCGCTGGGGCCACTCCTTTGTGCTCCACGCCAGCCGAAAATCGTCGTCCGTGATGGTGTGTGAGAACTCGTGCAGTGCATGAAGCCGCTCGTGGATCTCTTCGACTTCCTTGACAATTCCTGCGATCGTACCCTAAACCACAATAACGTTAGCATTCCGCATATCGCATAAAATGCCGAGAAACCAACCTTGCTAACGTTGATAAAGTCCTTGAGGGCCGCGAGCTCGGCTTCGTTCGTGGGCTTCTCGGTAATGCGATGCAAGATCGATTGGTAGCGCCGCGTAATATCAATGTTCTTCTCCCGCGCGTCAAACACGATGTAGTCGATGAGCGCATCTCGGATCGCAGTGCCTCGCTCCCGCAGCGTCGCCTTGAGCCCCATGGCGTTGACGCACACAAGAGGAAACCCCGTCACGTCAAAGCTGAGCGTCTCGACCTCGAGCACGAGCGCATGGTACCGTCGGATCGCGTCGCACATGACGCTCAGCGAAATGGGCGATGGATTGTCGGCTTTGAACTGCTTCATGAACGCAGCGGCGTCGACGCCAATGAGCTCTGCGTGCTGGCCATATGCGTCCGCGACCCCCATGACCTGGTTCATCGACTCGTTCACGTACTTGAGCACGTCCCGACGCGCGCTGGCAATCTTGACAACCGTTTCTATTCCCATACGTGAGACGACGACGCTGTACGTCCACGAGTGTGTACCGTGCACGACCTCGTCTTTGACGGAAATATCAAACAACTTGCGGTGTTCGAGGTTGAGGAGCGAGAGCAAGTCGGGGTCAATGACCTCGATCGCACTAACGTTGGCGACCATGGTTTCCAGCGGCGCGAGCATGACCGTCTTGATTTCTTGGCTCGACGGTACCATCGCGACGACGCCAGCCTCGCCGATCGCAAGCTCGACCGCAAAGACAGATGCCACGGGCACAATCATGTCGGCCACCTTGGGGGTGCAGCGTTTGATCGTGGCCTCGACGAGCGCGACCCATGTTTGCGTCGACTGCTCCACAAGCATGCGCATCTGCGCCGCCATGCGCACACGGATGCTCATCAAGAGTCGTTGCAGTACGCCTAGTGTCAATGTCGATCTGCAATCGGTCTGGGAGGCAAAGACGCCTACCCGATGCGTAGGCGTCACGATCCGAGATGAAAAAATCGTGGGTGTCTTGCAAACTATCGACGAGGTTCTCGGAAATGGCGCGGCGCCAGTCCTACCAGTCATTTCAGTACCTTTCAACCTGTATTGGTGGACGCACCACAGAGAGCATTTCCGTGACTTTGGAACAATGGGTCATCTGTACGTCGTCAAAGTCGGCGAGCCGGCACGGTAGCGAGAGCGTATCAAGCGACGTCGTGCAGAAGGTAAGCTTCTGGAACGACGTTTCCCAGCCGTGGTAGATCTTCATAAGCACGGGAAGGAACCCACCCATGGCCGTGTAATGCTTCCGTCCCACAATGCGTCGCGCCTTGTCGTACGCGTGGTCGGGAATTTGCACCTTGCCAAACGCGGGGGCGGACAGTGGCCGTGGGATTGGCGTCAGGTTCAAGCTCTGGTACTTGAACCGGAGATGATCGTCAAACTCGAGCTTGTGCGCAAGCACGGCCTTCTTCATGCTTCGAGCGTACTCGCGAATGACCACGTCTGTGAGGTTCCGCAGTAGCACTGCGTGCGTCTCCTCGACGCCAACGTCCGACGTCAAGCCCTCGACGACGCGACGATGGATGCCTTCGAGCGTCGGGCGACCCATTGCCCGAGGTTCGATTGCATCTTGCTGCGCGATAAAGTAGTCGAAGCGCATTTGCGCCTTGGCTTCCTCGCGGCGTCGGACGGCTTCGTCAATGCGTCGCTGGAAGACGGCAGGATCTTCCTACATGCATCGATGCACCTCATGACACAAAATGAGATATATGCGTACGAGGTCAAAGCGAAGGTTGATGCGACGGACTTGCTTTTGCTTGTCCGAGCCTTGGAACTGGATCGTGTACTTTTCCGTGATCGAGTTGTAGCTGTCGACGACGCATGGCCGCCAGCGCCACTCATTCTTGACAAAGAAGGGCGACGCGCCCATCTTGGTAAGCGAGAGCCACTCGTCAGCAGTCTTGGTCTCGTACTCGGTGCTGTCGAATTGATGCAGCGGCAGCTTGGACTGATCGAGCTTGAGGTATTCGTCAAGCTCGACATTGGCCGCCCTACGAGACGAGATTTGATGATGTCGTTGAGCCCACGGACGTACGCTTCATTCTTGGCAGCGTTCTTGGCGTACTCGTCGATCTGCTGCTGCCGCTCGGCGTCGGCGTCCAGCGTAATGGGCGCCGTTGTGCGAATGCGGCCTGGGAAAGGGCGCACGAGCTCGGGGCCGCGGAGTACCTTGAGCTGCTCGCGGCGCTTGAGCTCGTCCTCGAGCACGACAGCATCCTTCCACTTGTGCGGCAGGTTCTGGTAGTCGACATGCGACTGCTTCTTCCGCGTCGACTTGGTCTTGATCAACTCGAGGCGCTCCTTGGCTTCCTTGCGCATGCGCTTGTGGAGACGGAAGCGCTGTTCGAGCATGCGCCGGTCGTGCTCGAGCTGCTCCTCGGGCGAGAGATCCGTCTTCTCTTCCTCCACGTCCCCCGCTCCATCGTCGACTTGCCGGTCGTCCTCCATGCAGTTGGGTCTACCAGGCGTCGCTGCCAAGATGCGTCGTTTCAACTCCCGCCCCTTCGGCCCATCCGACACACGTCTCTGATTGGTTGAAAAAGCGATCTTTCGATCGCATCGATGATTGGCTGAAATATATGATTTCCGTCGGCGTGTGCTGATTGGATTCCTCGCTTGCATGTCGTCAAACTCTGTTTTTGCGAAACAGAGTTTGTCGCGGTGCCAGCGACATGCCACGCAGCCGCGGCAGAGCGGCAAGACCACTGTGCGTGATGGATCATCAAGTGGAGTATCGCTCACGAGATGCGAGTCATGCTCATATGGGGTACCGTACAACCGTGGCACTCTTCGCCTTCTCCTCGTCTGCAAAGAGGGAGGAAGAGGCCAGTACATGGTCAGTTCTATTCGTTTTCGTGCGCATGGTACACGGCGAAGTGCTTGATAGCTTGAAGCTGGTCCTACCGCGCTAGTATCAAACAGGTCGACCAACGCGAGACGGGCAAATGACGAGCTAAATGCAGTGCACGAAGATACAGTCGCCGCCGACGCTGCAACGCGTTGCCAGTGCCTACGCCAGCACGCGGTGGTCGTGAACAGAAATACGTTGTTCTAGTAGGTGCTCGCACGCCAGAGCCACTATTGCCCACGCCAATGTAGCCAATCTTGCGAATGACTGCCACTGCATATGGCAAAATCGGCGTGGGGGTAGACGTGTCCGCTTCAGGATTGCACCACCGGTCGCATTAACGAATCGTTGCCTGACGCTTCTGACAACAGAGACAACGTCCCGACGGGGCACGATGTGTCCCTGCCTTGCAAAAGGCCGCTTGAACACTGCCATCTCGTGCTGCTTCTCTGCAGAGAAGACGACCAAATGTCGGCTTGCATTTCCTTCGAATTTATCTGAGTCGATTTTGAAGCAATCACAAGGCCAATATTGTGCGTTCGTCTTCTCTTGCCAATTGCCCAGGTCGCGTTGGTCACGCCGTGTGTGCCCACGACCATCGCGACGATGTGGACGCCATACAATACCGTAGACACATACTACGTAGTCTCCGAACGTTGCACTTAGGTGCTTTGCGACCATGCGGCGTTCGTCTTCGGAGCACCGCCGCCAAAAACCACCCTACCGCGATTCGATCAGAAGCGGCCAGTGCTCGGCGCCGGCGAGCAATTTCCGGCGGGCGCATCAAGGTCGACGACGTATGCAGGCTCGGTCGCGGCTTCCATTGCAGTAGCATTGCGAGACGCTCATCTCGCGCATGTGGAGGGCGATCCGTTGCACCCTTTGTGAAAAGCACAATATAGCCCGATCAACCTCGCGCCCAAACCCGATCTTTTCGGCAATGTTGCCACATCCCGATGTCGGATTGTCGCCATTCGCCAACTGTCGCCGCCATGAACAGGTTTGCCGATACGTTCCGGAGCATGTTCAAGGACATTGAGCGCACGACGACGCAGCGGCCGGTGCGGACCTCGGACGAGCCCGCGCTCCAGATGGCCGCCGTCCGCCGGGCCAAGCGCCGGTCGCACTACTCGGACGTACTTTCATCGACGTTTCCCAACACGCCCACCAGGGGGTCCGACGACGCCGAGCGCGCCAAGCACAGCCAGATCCTCGAGTTTCTCTTGCAGTCGTTTGACGCGACGTGCGACGAGTCGCATGCGCACGTCCTGCAGGCGCTCGAGCTCTGCGGGCGGCTTTCGGCCGTGGTCGGCGCGGGCCGCGTCGCCAAGACGCAGCTCGAGATGGCCTTCATGGCCAACGTCGTCGCGCTCGCGTACCTCGGCGACGAAGGGCTACAAGCGAGCGTCATCACGCAGCTCGAAGCCGCGACCGCCGCCCACGACTGGTTCCGCGTCCCATCCTCTTCGCCGAACGCAAAGTACCCAAAATGGGTCCCGATGGCAAATGCGCCGTCCGCGCCGTCGTTCGAGTCGAGTTTGATGGCCTTTAGCATGCTCGCCAAGCTCCCATCGAGCGACATGAAGAAGGGGCCGCCGCTTTCGCGTGACGTCGATGCGCTCCTCGGCAAGCTCGTGCTCGATGGCGAGTTTTACATGCTCTTTCTCGCTTCGGTGCTCAACCAAAGCCGAAGCAGCGTCAACGAGACCAACGACTGGAAGCGCGTCGTGCCGCACCACGACCGCCTTGTGTACATTGGTCTCCGGCTCGTGCACGAGTGCGCGTACGAAACGTGGGCCATGGTGGGGCCGTCGCCGCGCACGTACTTTGCTTTTACCATGCGCGGCGTGAAAACCGCGATGCTCAAGGGGCTCATGCTCCTTCTCAACCCCAAGCTCACGTACCTCACTCTCCTCGCGCTCCTCGAGGCGACCAACGTCCACAACGAGCGCAGCGTCGGGCACTGCCTCCACCAGCTCGAGGAGTGGTTCACGCGCCTCACCGAGTACAAGTTTGACTTGATGGCGACTGTCCGCGACTACGACAAAGATTTTTCGTGGCTCTTTGCCATCAAGCTACTGCTCTTGTCCGACCACATGGACATTCTCAAGAAGACGCTCTTGTTCCTCTACAACGTGCTCCCGATGCTGCCCGACACGCTGCGGACGCTCGTCATGCGCGTGCTCCTCCACCGCCATTTCGAGCTTTTCTTGCACTGGCAGCGCGACGTCCGGCGCTTTTACCAGCACGTGCTCGTCTACCGGCTGTGTCCGGGCGCCCACCGCGCGTTCCTCTTCTCGATGACCGATAGCTTGCTCGCCAAGGTCGACGGCGAGCACGAGCTCAGCTTCTTCAACTACGATGCGCTCGCCCCCAATATGGAGAGCCTCCTCGACGACGAGCGCGCGAAGTGGACCTTCTTTGACGTGCTCATCCTCTCGCTCTGTCTCCGCGAGCGCGACCGCGCGCACGAAGCCAACAAGGAGCAGCGCCGCGCTGCCGACCTCGCGGCGGCCCGCGTCGCAACGCTTCAGAAAGATCTGCACAACTGCTCGCAGAGCCGCGTGAGTGCGTCGTTTGCGCGCGAATGCATGTCAGCGAATGCAACGACCGACGTCGAGGAGAAGCTCGCGGCCGAAGTCGACCGGCTCCGACTGCTGCAAGCGTCGCTGCCGTACTTGCGCGTGACGCCGCAAGACCATGAATTCGAGTCGGCGGTCGCGAGCAGCCACGTCGACCGGTTCTTTGCGCCGCGCGAGGGCATCGAGTGGAAGCACCTCCAGCAGTATGCGCGCGTCGCGCTTCTCGAGTATACACACGTGCTGCAGTCGTACTACGCCCAGTGCACGCGGCACCCCGCGACCGGTCGGTTCGATGTCGCGTTCTTGCCCGTTGCTCCGGAACTCACGTTTTAATCTAATATGTGTGTGTGTTGTACACTATGGGAGTGTGGACAGAGTGTCTTTGTTGGTGGTGACAATACTACTGTGGTTTAGTCCATGCGCACCACGGCCTCGACGAGCTTGCCAATGTTGTCGTGGACCGACGCCGGCGTGCCAGCGTCGTGCATGTAAGCGGGCGCCGACACAATCTTGTTGGTCGCATCAATGTGGATCTCGTCCGACTCCTTCTCGATCGCAACGGCGCCGAGCGCGTCGACCGCATCGGAGGCACCGCCGTTGGACCACGTCGCACCCGAGCGCTTGCCCATGGTGAGCTCCGCGCCGGGAAAGAGCTTGGCGCCGAGGACCGGCGCAATGCACATGAGCCCGATCGGCTTCTTGGCGGCATGGAACGACGAGAGCGCCGACGCCACTTGCGGCTGCACGTTCATGTTGGCGCCGTCAAACGCAAACGAACTCAGGTTCTTGGCCGCGCCAAACCCGCCGGGCACCACGATAGCGTCAAAGTTGGCCACGTCCAGCACGTCCAAGGCCTCGACTTTGCCGCGACCAATGCGCGCCGACTCGACCTATTCATATCGCCGTGCATGGTATCGCTGCTACGTATCCAGAGGAAAACCGTACGAGCACGTTGCGCGACTCGGGGAGGACATCGCCGGTGAGGTGGTTGATGACGTGGTGCTGGGCAATGTTGGGCGCAAACATCGTCACGTTCGCATTGGCCTTGCTCAAGTGGATCAAGCAGCTCACGGCCTCGGTGATCTCGGTGCCATCGTAGACGCCCGCGCCTACGCCATAGTATCGTTGGACGAAGCTGTACGTGGATCACGAGCCTACCGCTGAGGATGAGCGCGACGCGCTTCGAGGGCAGCTCCTGCTTGGGTGCCGAGAGCGCATTCGTGAGCGCAGGTTGGAAGCGCGTCATGGCATGCTTCACCAGCGGTACCGCGGCGAAGCCGACGAGGACAAGCCCGCCAAGCGCAGCACCTCGACGCAACATGTGGCTGGTTCGAATCTGTGGCGAGCGATTCTTTTTTTGATTTTTTATTCCAGCTTGAAATTTGTATCGTCGATCATACTTTCAATGGTATAATATGATTGGACCGATCACGAAAAATGGGGCCAATCACAAGGCGGCGTTCGTCGAAGATCGACTCCTAGTTGTCCATCGGCATTTTCTGGGCTAAAGAATGTTCACCCCGAAGATGGCACCTGATGGACTCTAGGAGATGGAAATAGTTTGGACGTAGTCAACGGTGACGTCATCTTTGTCCCGTGAGGTTCGTCAGACACGAGATTCTCTCGGCGCAATGAGCTAGTGCATACTGGTACTCGCACTTGGACAAATGCTTATTGCTATATCTCATTTGGAGGCAGCCAGTGAGCTCTCACAGACGCGACGGCGGGGTGCCGCCCGTGAGCGCTTGCAGCTGACCCCACAGCGACGCTTCCATCGGAATGACACCTTCCGCCACGTGCTTCTTGGAAATGGCATTGCCGCGCTCGCCGGGGAGCCAGATCGCGTCGACATTGGGCATCTTGTCGGCCGTCTTGACACGTTGCAGCACTTGCTCGACGCGCGATGTGAAGGCACCTGGCTGCGGGTGGAAGAGCGTGGGGTCGATCGCGACGACGCAGCTCGCCCAGTCGTTGGCGTTGTCCTTGTCGTGGATCGCACCGCCCGCGAGCGCCGCCGAGAGCAGCTCCACCGCGAGGGCCAACGCCGATCCCTTGTGCCCACCAAACGGCAAAATCGCGTGAACAGCCGCGGGGTCCGTCGTGGTGGCACCTAATGCACCTTGAGACTAGAGACTCTTCCCTGGAACGCGAGGTACCGTTGACATCCACAGCAACGCCTTCGGGGATTGCGATTTTGGCGATTTTGGCCAAAATAACAGCGTAGTACGAGATGGCCGACGTCGCCAAGTCCATCATGAGCGGCTCCGAGGCATCCGAGCGCGGGAAGCTCATTGCGAGCGGGTTGGTACCAAAGAGCGGCATCTTGCTGCCCGTGGGCGCCACGAGTTCCGGCGAGCCCGAGAAGACAAAGCCGATGCAGCCTTGGCGCGCCATCTCCTGGGCGTAATACCCAATCGCGCCCGTCGACGTGCCTACGTGCAAGCATGAGATGCCGTCGTCGAGTCGAGCGTGTAGTATGTACAATAGTTGCGGCACGTCACAACGCTGACGCCGGCTGTCTTGGCCTTGGCGATCGCAACCTCCGTGGCTCGCTGCAGAACGAGCATGCCGCAGTGCTGGTGGCCGTCGATCGCCGCCATCGTCGGCGTCTCCCGCGTCGTACGAATCGGATGCGCTGCCGACAACGGGCTCTTGTCGAGCGCGTGCGTCACGAGCTTGACGACGCCCTGCGTGTTGCCTCGGAGCTGCGCATACAAGAGGATGCGCTGGATGATTGTCGCTTCCGTCTCCGAGTACCCGAGGAGCCGCAGCGCTTTCGTCGTCTGCGCCGTCAGCTCGGGCACGGGAACCTGCACCGTGGGGGCCATGGCGAAATCTAAAAATGATCCGCCAGCTTCGATTGGCTTCCAACAGCATACAATTACCTAGGTACAGGCCAGCTGCGGCAATGCCCCGGCACGCTACTCGCACGCAACATGCTTCGCCTCGGCACTGCGGCGATGCTCGTAAGTGCAAGTGTATGTCGAAGCTAAGTCCTCTCGGCTACAATAGCTCCTGTAGCACGTGCATTCAAACGACAAGCAGTGGTATGCGGCAGCGCTTGAAGGAGCCACGTGCTGGTTTTGTTGCAGAGAAAGTTGCGTGCGTGTAGCCTCAAGTGCAAATCCTCCACGATGGCGGCGCTTTTCGCGCTGGCGATCGTCTTCCTCAACCCGAAGAACGAGATTCCCGAGTGCTCGTACGATGCAGCCGCGATGCTTCGGCGCGTTGGCATCCCCGACGTCCGCGTCGTGTCCATGGAAGCCATTCCCAAGGCGCTGGCTGTAGCAGACCCGGTGACAACCTTGTACGTTCAGCCCGGCGGCGGCGACGACGTCGACACGTCGTTTGCAACCTTTTTTGCCAACAACCGGAAGCTCCGGCCCTCCGTGCAGCGCTTCGTGGCCGACGGCGGCGTGTACTTGGGCATCTGCCTTGGCGCCTATGCGGCCGGCGTCGAGCAGTTCGACTTGGTCCGGGACAAGGACCATGACCCGTTCTTTAGCTTTGACGAGCTCGACGACGACGAAGCGCGGATCGTCCCAGTCGAGATCAACAACATGCGCTATAGTACGTACCACCAAGGCGGTCCCGACTTGACACCGATGCTCGACGTTGGTGCCGAGCGGTTTGGGGCGTACGTCGGCCGACATGGCGCGCCTGTCGGTGTTATCCTTCCATACTGGAAAAACCAACGGGGCACGATCGGGCTCTTGAGTCCGCATTTTGAAGCAACCAACGAGTGGGATGATGCCGAGCATGGGCGTCGCGCCGGCGACTGCGCAGTGCCAGCCCTCGCCTTTGTCGCGCAGCTGGCGGCCGCTGCGTCCCGGCACCGCAACGCTGCCACGTGCAAAAGCCCGCTGCCCTTCTGCTTGCAATAGCGCGACGCTGTATCCGTTCGTCCCAAGGATCCAGAAAACGAATCTTTGCCAGTAATTTTCGGCATTACTCTTGGCCGCTTCTATTAGCTGCGTCCTCTGTCCATACAGTGTATCATGCAGCACAGTAATTGCACTGTATTCGCCACGCCAGCATTTGTTGTTGCTGGTAACCATCCCAACACTGCTTGCTCCGTTCATCCTTCGATGGTCGCACGGCTTGGCGATGGACCGCTCACCGCTTCCCTTTACCCGAAGTACGAGCTTGGGTCGCAAACACCACCCAAGGCACACGGCAGGGATCTAAAGCTGCCTCCGACTACGCTTACACTGCTTCCTTTGCCTCTCACGCCGCCACCTTGCGCCAACCTCGTAGCTGCCAGTGTAGCTGCCCTGTCGCTTGCGCGGTGATCGCACCGCCACATGGTTTAAAAAAAGTATCTTTAAAGATCGCAACAGGCGCTGGATCGTCGATGGTCTGGCTTGCAGCGGCGTCGCCGACGGACTGTGGCAGCTGGCCTCGATGCAGCAACAAGTAGGGACCTAACTTCTCTCTCTTGGCTTGCCGCAGGATAGCAATACACTGATTGTCGCATCCAGTGGTTGGTGCGCAGGATAGCAATACACTGGTTGTCGCATCCAGTGGTTGGTGAGAAAGAAGATCCGTGAAACGTTCGATCGAACATTGCGCGATTGGGGATTTCGAAGGCGTCATTTCCCGACGGACGGATGAGCGAAGAGTACCGCGTCGTGGTCGTCAAGGCGACCAACCTCGTCGGCAACGACGGCTTTGGCGCCAACAAGACGTCCGACCCGTTCGTCGAGCTCTCGTACCTCAACAGCAGCTTCGAGCCGCTCAAAGCCGAGACGCGCAAGACGCGCGACGTCTCCAAGACCATCAACCCGCTCTGGAACGAGACCTTTACGATCGGCAACGACGTGGATTTGCGCACGGTCACGTACCTTGCGTGCACGGTCTACGACAAGAACCTCTTGAAGAACGTGCCGCTCGGGCGCGCGCTCGTTCCGCTCGATGCCATTCGCACCGGCGTCATGGCCGGCGGCGCGTTCCAGCACAAGTGCGTCGTCGAGAAGTTTGGCAAAATGCGCTTTGCGACCGGCGACTTGTTTCTCGAGTTTAGTGTGCACCATCCCGGGTCGTCGGCGGTGGCGGCGCCAGCGAACGGCGACGAGCCGGCGGCGCCCGTGACCGGCCCACCGAATGTCCTTCACGTGACGATCGACTCGGCGACGGGGCTGCCGGCCATGGACATTGGTGGCACGAGCGACCCACTCGTCATCATCACGTGCAACAAGACCAAGCTCAACACGACGACGAAAACCAAGTGTGTTGCGTGCATGTGGAACGAGTCGTTCAAGCTGCCGGTCACGGACGTGACCCAAGACGTCTTTTTCGTTGTCGAAGATTTCGACTTGACCGTCAACGACTTTATGGGGCAGGCCAAGGTGTCTCTCGAGGCGCTTGGCGACGGCAAGCCGCGCACGGTGACGCTCGACCTCCTCGACAAGAAATTCCGAAAAAAGAAGGACCTGGGTACGCTCACGGTCACGTTGCGCTGGATCTACTCGGCCAACGTCACGGACGTTGTCGCCTCCAACAAGAAGAAGGCCGGCGGGATCTTTTCCAAGATTGGGAACGCGCTCACGGGCAACCCCGACGTACGCGTCGTGCCAACGTGGACCGAGTTGACTCAGCGAAACAATGTAGGCGGGCGACGACGACGAGGAAGGGATCGACCCCGATGCGGACGAAGCAGCGCCCAAGAAGAGCGACGACGAGCTCAAGAAGGAGGCCGAAGAGAAGGAAAAAGCGCTGCAGGAAGAGAAGAAAGCGCTCGAAGACATCAACATCAAGTCGGGCGACTACTCGATCCAAGTGCATGTGATTGAAGCCCGGGATCTCGTGGCGAAAGATGCGACTGGCACGTCCGACCCGGTTGTGTACGTGAGCGTGCTCGGCCAGGAGCAGCACACGGCCGTCAAGAAGCAGACGCTCTCCGCGGTCTGGGACGACACGCTCATCTTTACGTTCCGGAATTTGGACAAGGACGAGGTCGAGGCCGGCGCGATCAAGCTCAGCATCATGGACGCCAACACGCTCACGCGCGCCGAGCTCATTGGCGAGATCCAGTTCGACGTCTCGTTCATCTACTCGCATATCAACCACCAGATCTGCAACAAGTGGCTCGGCCTCATTGCGCCGGGCCAAGAAGGCGTCCAAGGCTACCTGCGTGTCTCGATCTCGCTTGTGGGTCCCGGCGACAAGTTTGTGCCGCCGCCGCCGGTCGGGCCCGACAGCGCGGGCCTCGACGCCGTCATGATGCCGTCGAGCGTCAAGCAAGAAGTCAACTTCCTCGTATGCCGCATCCACGTCGGCGAGCATTTGCCGCCCATGGACAGCGTCCTTGGCGGCTTCAAGCAAGGCCTCGACGCGTACGTCCAGTGCTCCTTGGGCAACACCAAGCCGATCCGAACGCGCGTCAAGACCAAGAGCGGCGAGCGCCACCAGCTCAACCCGGCCTTCAACGACGAGCTCTGGCTTGTGTTGCACGAGCCGAGCTTAGCCAACCAGATCGTGGTGTGCGTCAAAGACTGGGACAAGGTCGGGAAGGACGAGGTCGTCGCGCACTCGTACCAATCGCTGCGCGTCATCAAGAAGCTTGGTGGGCGTATGGGGCCCACGTGGCTCAACTTGTACGGCGCGCCGATCGCACACGCCAAGGGCAATGTGCTCTCGGGCGACACGGTCAAGGAGCAAATGAACACGTTTCCCGACATGGCCACGTTTTACCGCGGCCGTATCCTCGTGACGTTTGAGATCCACTCGAACGACAAGAAGCTCGAAGAAGTCAACCAGCGCGTGAAAGCGACGCCTTTGGCGCACCACGCGTACCCCGAGACGGCCATCTACCGGCTCCGCGCGTTCGTCGGCCTCGGCTCGGACATTCCGCAGATCACGTCGCTCGCATCTGGCGCAACGCGCAAGTCCAAGATGCAGATTGTCATCACGTGCGGGCTCAACTCGCTTGAGTTTGAGCGACGGGAAAACAACAAGGGCGTCGTGGTCTGGAACGAGCTCAGGGAGACGGACAACCTCGTCTTGCCGCGGGACCCATCCCAGATCCCCGACATTTTCGTGTACCTCTGCAAGGGCAAGGTCGACGGAAAGCTTTCGACGCGCAAGCAGGTCGCGTACAAGCGCTACGCAGCCAAGGACCTCTTGGAGAAGAACATGGTGTCCGAGCCGGCGTGGGTCACTCTGAAAGAAGACCCGGCCGTCGACGCGCTCAAAGACGAAGTCTTTCCGGGCAACATTTTTCTCAACCTCGGCTTTGGCTACCTCGTACGCTCCGACGGCTCGAAACGAGATACGAGTTATGTGTATGGTGCTGTAGGACACGTCGAACGCGACGGTCGACATGTGGAACCGCCTGTGCAACCAGGAAATCCTCGGCACCCGGCTCAAGTACCAAGTCCAAGTCAACATTTTCCAGGGTCGGCAGCTACCGGCACTGGACGACAATGGCTTGTGCGACCCGTACATCAAAGTGCGACTGTGCGGCCAAGAAGAGCGCACCGAAGTGAAGAAGAAGACGCGCGACCCGCTGTACTACCAGACGTTTTGCTTTGACGTCGACCTGCCGCCTGTCGAGTACATTCAGTACTCGCCCCAGGTACTTGTCGTGCTGCGATAGCGATTGCTCACCACGAGTAGGTCATTCTGCGCGCGATGGACTGGGACTTGGGGCTTGGCGACTCGTCCCACGACTACATGGGCTCGGCGTTCATCTCGCTAAACCAAGAGCACATCCGACGCCCCGATGACCCGCGGCCACTGCCTCTTCCGCAGTGGTACAACCTCATGCAGCAAGAAGCAGGCGACACGGAAGGCTCGATCCTCGCGTCCGTCGTCGTCATCAAGAAGGACACTCCTGATATGATTCTGTCGCCACCACGCCCGATTGCACCCAAGATGATCACAGCGTACTTGGAGATCATCGTGCTCGGTCTCCGGGACATGCGTCCGTTCCAGTTCCTCCCGATTCAGCTGCCGTTCGTCGAGTTTACGCTCGGCGGCAAGACGCATGCGAACCAAGAGATGAAGACGGAGACGTCCAAGCGGCCGACTGGCGACAACCCCAACTTTCTTCAGCGCATCGTGCGCGAGGTTGAGCTTCCGGAAGACTCGCTCTTCGCGCCCATGCTCAACATTATGGTCCGGGACACGCGTCTTGGCGGCTGGCTCAAGCCCACGATCGGGAATGCATCCATTGATGTACGTCGTATCTCTATTGCTGGCACTCCTCTGTAACAAATATCTGATGGGATATGATGACGGACGTAGATGACGACCAAGCTGCCGTGGGGCCAAGGCTACATTCCTCCGCAGACACCCGACTTGGGCTGCGTAGCCAGCGCCGCGCCGGACGACGACGACGACGAGATCGACTTGAGTGATGACCATGCGCCGCTGCTCAAGGAGCACCACGCCAAAGGCGAGAATGGCGCGGGTGTCTTTGGTGCCCTCCACTCGATGAACATCTCGATCGACTTGGAGAACCCGAGCTTGCTCACCGAGACGGCCATCTCGGACGAGTCCCCGTCGCCCATGATGCGGCGTGGTAGCTCGGTCTTGAGCTCGCCCACTTCGGACGACGTCGTCGAGGACGACGAAGGCGCCGACGAGTTTGAGATCAAGAAGAGAAAGTACATGAAGAACCGCGACGACTACAACGAAGACCTCGAGTCGGCGGCGCTCAAGACCAAGCCGTTCGAGACGTACGCGCTCTCGATTGGCCAAAAGAAGAGGAAGAAGTCGGTGCTCGACATTCTTAGCGTCGGCAAGCTCAACCCGTTCAAGCTCGTCGGCAACACGGTGAACTCGGTGAAGAAGGTCGCAGGTCTCGGCGGCGCGAGCGGTGGCGGCGACAGCGAGAACGGGCTGGGCACGTTCCACATTGCGGGCATCTTCAAAGGGCTCGTCCGCGTCATGCGTCGCGAAGACGAGCCGCCGCTGGTCGACATGCAAAAGCTCCTCAACCCGCAGCCGTATACGCTGCGCGTCTACGTGTTGAACGGGACGGGCTTTGCGCCGATGGACCCGGGCCTCGATGGCACTCCCGGCAAGTCGGACCCGTATCTGATTTTGCGCCTCGGGAAGCACAAGATCAACGACCGGAAAAACTACATCGACGATGTCGTGGACCCGGACTTTTACAAGTTGTACGAGTTCCACTGCCAGTTTCCCGGTGTCGCGACGCTTACGATCGACGCGTTCGACCACGATTTCATCGGCGGCGACGATCTCATTGGCTCGACACGGATCGACGTCGAAGACCGATTCTTTGACAAGCACTGGCACGCGCTCGGCCACGCCTTCCAAACCACCAAGCGCTGGGGCCCCAAGCCTGTCGAGCAGCGGACGCTCACGATCCCGACGTCCCGGGCGCCCATGGGCCAGCTCAAGCTCTGGATCGACATTTTGACGCCCAAGGAAGCCGTCAACTTTCCGCCCGCGGACATTGCGCTGCCGCCGCCGCGCGAGTTTGAGCTCCGCGTCGTCATTTGGAAGACAAAGGAAGTGCCAAACGCAGACGAGATCACCGAGATGAACGACCTCTTTGTGCGCTGCGCGCTCGAAGGCAGCGACCACCAGGACACGGACATCCATTGGCGGGCCAAGAAGGGCAAGGCGAGCTTCAACTGGCGCATGAAGTTCAAGGTGCTCCTCGGGCACAAGCAGCACAACTCCAAGTTCCCGTACTTTAAGCTCCAAATGTGGGACAAGGACGTCTTCTCGTCGAACGACTGCATCGCCGAGGGCATCTTGGACATGCAGCCGCACTTCCGGCAAGTGTGCAAGCTCCAAGCCCCGTACCAAATTTTCCAGAACAAGACGCCGCGCCCAAAAGAGACGGCAAGCGAAGCGCAAAACAACGACGCGATCCGGTCCATCAAGGAGGCCACGGGGCTCTGGGACACGGACCCGACCGACTCGAGTTGGATCAAGATGGAGCGCATGAACCGCGCGACGGGCGTCAAGGACCCGATGGGCGCCGTCTGCATCAGCATGGAACTCGTGCCAATCGAGAAGGCCAAGACCATTGCCGTTGGGTTTGGCCGGAGCGACCCGAACAACAGTCCGTTCTTGCCGCCGCCGGCCGGCCGCCTCAAGTTCAGCATGAACCCGTTCTACGTCTTCAACGAGCTCCTCGGCCCAAAGATCTGCCGCCGCGTCATGTGCGTCGTGTGCTTTGTCGCGCTCGGTGTCATCATGTACTTTGCGGGCCCGATCATCAACCTCCTCATCGTCATCCTCAAATAAGGTCGCGATCCTCTACATGCATCCATTCGCTTTTGAACAACTCTACTTCAACGCTCGTTGCTCACCGACGTACCTACATGATTGTGCCCACGGACACGCATCTACCATGGTGGTGGAGGACCCGAGGATCATGCCAACGGGGCAGTGCAAAAGAGACGAGAGGGACAGCTCCTACAGGGCTTGCACCTCTACGTATGAGAAGAAGGAGCCACCGACGGGATGAAAGGACGGTAGCCAAGTGCATCTTGACACTGACAATAACGTTGGTCGAGGGCTGCGTGCAGCTGCGCTATGTCGACGACTCGAACGCTGTTGTGGAGCTCATCGATCGAACCTCTGGTGGTATATTCATATAAGACTAGGTGTAGGGCAGGGCATGACAATAACCCTGCGGAAGGGCCACGCGGTCAGTGGTCGGGTTGGCGGGAACCAAGGGGTCGCAGCGTCAACCGGCTCCATCCAATCGGAACCGAGTATTCAAGTGACCATTTTTTGTATAAACATGCCGTTTCGTTGGAAAACGTCAGGCGTTTTGCGGATTTTACAGGTCACGCCACCGCGATTGGGGTGGGGCTGCTTGTATTTTCCCATAGCAGGTGCATGAAGCACCAGTGAAAGGCGCGGGATGAAGACGACCTCGAGCGCTCCGCGGACGGACGCGGCCGGTACGCGACCTGACGGACCTGCCCGAAAGGATGGTACAGCGCGTGTAGATGCGTCCCCCCATGGCGCCCGCGCGATCCGCCGGACCCTCGCGCACCAGAAGCACGAGCGGCGCCTCGAGCGCGAGATGAAGCGCGAGCGAACGGCGCTGGATGCGAAAGCGTCGCAGTGGCAGGACCATGTGCGACTCAAGAAGAAGTTGCGCAGTGTCCACGCTGTCACGAACGGCGCGATGATGCTGCAGTGCTTGACGATGGCCCAGCCGCTGTCGCGGGCGGCCAAGCGGCAGCAGATCCAGGCCATTGACGCGGCCAAGATGAGTGCGATCGAGCAGATCGAGAGCGTCCCGATTCTCTCTTCGCAGCGGCGTCGTCGGATCCGGTCGTTTGAGTCCAAGATGCGCGCGGTCGTCCGCTGCCCGTCGCTGCCGCTGCTTGCGCCGGTGGAGCCCGTATCGCGCGCCAAGAGGATAGTCGACGCGAACCCTCTCTTCTACCTCTATCTATGGCAGGGCATGGAGCGATTTAGCAAGCCGCAGCTCGAGCAAATGCTCCTGCATCCCGCAGACCTCGACCTCCTCAACAAGCACACGGAGCAGTGCCTCGATACGATCCTCGAGTGCGGCCGGCATGCGGCAGGCCTCCACCTCACGCACGCCGCACCGTTCTTGCACGAGGTGGCGTTTGCCGCGCACGTCGTCGGTGCCCACGCGTACGCGCAAACCGAGTTGCGCCAGCCATCACTCGTGTACCCGCTGCCTCTCTACGAAAAGTCGGTCGTTAGCAGCAGCTGCAAGGCGATTCGGCACAGCCTCGTCTTCTTGCCGTCGCACTTTCAGGACGACGACAACCGGTTCCCGGATCTCGCCGAGCTCGTCGACGCTACCGTGCGCGCGGCGCCCGAGATCATGCACGAGGTCGCACGCTGGACGCAGCCCGTGCCGTCACCGAGTACGCTCGCGGAGCTTGTCGCCGAGTTTCAAGATGCTGCGGGCAACCTCGAGCGCCTCTTGCTCGAGTCACCTTCGTGCCTTGCGTACGTCTCGAACGCGGTCAAGGCCCTCTGCGTGCAGCTCCTCTCGATCGTCGAGCGGGCGCTCCTTGCGCAATGGGCAGCGTGGGCCCGCGACATGCCCGAGTGGTTTGTGCTCAACCGTCAACACATCGACCAGCTCCCGGCGCCGTCGGCGTACCTCGCGGATGCGATGGCCGCGTCGATGCCCAAGCCCGTGCACCTGCGGCCGGACGCCTCGGCCCGGGACCGCTGGCTCCAATCCCACGTCGAGCATTTCACCATTGCCAACGCGCGCTGCTACCTCCTCGACGAGCCAATGCAGACCAAGTACCGTGACGAGATGGTTGCGCACGCCGCGACGCTGCGGTACATTGCGTACATGCGCCTGGACGCGAGCGTCAACACGGAGTGGCCGCCCACGCTGCGTTGGAACGAGCGCTTGGCCGAGGCGGCGGCGCGCCTCGACGTGCTCGCCAAGCAGTTTATGCTCCACGAGTGGTGCGTCTCGTTCATCCAGAGCCAGATTCGACATCGCCACACGCGACATACGAATCCCAAGCTTATCAAGGAAGAAGCGCAGGATCTACCGCCGCCGCCGACGACGACCGAGGACGATGGGCCGGACACGGCCCTGCACAACATGGAACGCATCGAGGAGTATGATGAAGACGACGAACACCATGAAGACGAGGACGCCGACGCGCAGCGCGATGCCAATGTGGAAGATGCGACGCGCGATGATGACGATGACGACGCTGACAGTGTCGATCACGACGCGTTTGCAGCTCCCCACCCCGTTAACCAGGACCCGATGGATGATGACGCGGACGCCAATGACGATGGCGAGGACACGTGCGACCGGCGCGATGACGACGACAGCTACGTCGTAGAGGACACGATCAGAGATGATGTCGTGGCCAGCGGCAACGAGGCGGACAGCAGTGCCGACGCAGCGATCGGTGCAAATGGCGACAGCAGTGCCGACGTCGAGATGGTCGCCGACGAAACCCTTGGCGCCAACGACGAGGTCGCGGGTGACGTCACTATCAACGACCAGACGGCCGAAGTTTCTTTGGCCGACGACGCCGGCGTTAACGTTGCGATGGACACCGACGAGTTGTCTCGGTCGGAGAGCAGCCATGCAGCCAATGACGAGCCTTCCATCCATGGCAACAACCACGATGACACTCGGACAACCTTGGGTCCAGAGAGGGTCGATGCGCCTTCGATCGCCAAGAAAAGCAAGAAGAAGGCCAAGAAGGACGCAAGAAAAGGAGGCGCGCCCCGTCGTCGGTACCCGCGCCGGTTTACGATCGATTTGACCAACGAAGACGACGACGACGACGACGAGAGCTCGGACACGGCCAAGGAGAGCGAGGATGCGGACCTCGAAGAAAAGGCGCCGCCTCTTCCTTGCGTTGCGACGCCGAGTGATGACGAAGAAGACGATCGGCCGCTTTCGATGCTCAAACGGTCGGCGCGGACAACCAACGACGTGCGATTCGTGCTCGTATCCGACACGATCTTGGAGACTGCGAGCGACGAGAAGGCGCCGGCGCGCACCGACTCGGACGACGAGGTCGCCGCGATGGAAGCCAAGCCCCGGCGCAAGCGCAGCGTTGGGAACGCGCCGCTTCCATCGAGCAAGCGGCCGTGCGACGAAGCGACGTCACGTGGCCGGTTCCGTCCCAAGCCCAACGCCCAGATCGACTTGTTGTGCCAGCAAGCCATGTCGCGCATGCTGCACACGATCGAGACGAGTCTCGGGTGTCCCGGCATGTCGTGTGGCCACGCCTTCACCTGTGCTCGCTGCAAGCACTGTGCAAGCCACTGCACGTGTCGACCGGCGACCCGCGCGCCACCACCGGCGACGCACTTGCCCAACTTTGTGCCCGTCGATCGACTTCGGAACGAGCAAGAGTTTGTGTTTCAAGCTGCCCGTGCGCGCGTACGCCGGCGCCTCCGCGTCGAGCCGTCCTCGGCGGCGTCGCCGACGCCGACGTACACCAAGTGCCTCGAGGGACCGCAGCTCTGGTCGTCGCGGCGCATTGTAGCGCTGTGGAACGCGACTAAAGACGCGCATGGCGTCCTCGGTGTCCCCAAGCACGCGTCGTGGGGCACCGTCAAGAACCAATACCGGGCGCTCGTGCTCAAGCTGCATCCGGACAAGAGCCACAGCACCCCGGAGAAGGTGTCGGCGTTCGTCGCCGTCACGACCGCGTACAAGCGACTGCGCAGTACGTTTCAGGCGCCGTGAGCCGATCGTAGTCGTACTAGCAACAAGAGGGCGTACATTGCATTTGAATTTAGTTGTCGCTTGTCTGTAGACGAAGCGCGGCGGCCGAGAGCACGGCCTGATGCGCCGTGTTGTCAATGCCGAGGAAGTTGAAGTCGTCGTCGGCAAGGCCCGTTTCTCGGAGAAAGTCGAGCGTCGTGAAGCCTTTGGCCTTGAACGCTCCAGCGTACTGCTCCATGTGCAGCTGTCGCAGCCAGCTGTAGACGTCGTCGTGGAGCGAGAGTGGCGACGGCGGCGGTGGGGGTGGCGCGTGCTTGGCATGCGTGGCGACTGCAATCGCTTGGTCGAGGATCGCGAGCCAGCTCTGGAGCTCGATGATCGACGTCGCTTGGAACTCCTTGCGCTGGCTGCCTTGCACGAGCACAAACCTCCGGTTGGCCTTCTACAACAAGACGCGTTGAGATTTGATGCAAACACTCAAAAGGCACCTTTTTGAGTTTGCAGTCGGCGAGCGCCAACGTGTGCTCGGGCGATGGCGCAAAGCTGTCGGTGCCACGCAGCTTGTCGTAGATCTTTTGCGACGTGTAGTACGTCAAGGTCGAGTCGGCAATCACCACGTAGCGCTGGCGCCATCGACGCAGGCCGTGCGCTGCGCGCTTTAGAAGGGCACCGGCATGCGCCGGCGGCTCGTCAATGTCCAAGTCGACGGCCGGCCGCACGGCGATGCTAAACTCGGTCTCGTCGAGCACTTCGGGGTTGCACTCGGCGTTGTTGTCGTCGTCGGTGCCAAGGTCGGCCAAGAGCTCCGTGAGCCACTCGACGACCTAAGACAACCAAAAAATTGAGAAAAGACTATCTGAAAAGGAGGGGAACCTCGCCGGCGTGCGGGCGGTCGGATGGTTCGAACGACGTGCAGTGCTCTGCGAGAAGCGCAAAGGATACTGGGCAGCTCGCTGGGGTGACCCGCCGAAACTCGTTGATGTCGATGCGGAACTGCTGCGCTGGCGTCCGCGGCAAGAAATCGTCGACGCCCACCTACACATTGCATGACAATGATGGCATGGCGTCCTGTCGCGTACGTGGCGAAGACAAATGAGCTCCATGATGACGACGCCGAGCGAAAAGATATCGGCGTGCTCACCGTACGCTTCGTCAAAGTGGATTTCCTAAAGCAGCATGGCTGAAGACGAGAACCCGGCGCAGGGACCTACCGGCGCCATGTAGGCGTCCGTGCCGCAGAGCGACATGCGCCGGCGCGGCTTGGTGCTCGTATCCACCTGCGCTTCGCGTGCAAAGCCAAAGTCGCATAGCTTGCAGCGGCGGTCGTCGTCCAGCTACGCTGTCGATGAGTCGATTGCATGAACGAGTGGGCCGTACGAGGAGGTTGGCCGCCTTGATGTCGCGATGGATAAAGCCGTGGTCGTGCAAGTACGCGAGGGCCTCGGCGGCGTCGAGGGCGATCTGGACGCGCTGGTACCACGTGACAGGCGCCGCCTTCTTGAGGAGTTTGCTCACGTCGCCGCCCTTCAAGTACTCGGTGACGATCCAGACTTCGTCGGGCTGGTTGACTTGGCCGATGAAGCGCAGCAAGCGCGGGTGCTCGAGCTGGCGCAAGATCGCGATCTCTCGCGCAATGTAGTCGTTGATCTGCGGGTCGCGCTTCTGGCGCTTGATCGCGACAGGCGCGCCGTCGTACGCGCCAGCAAAGACCTTGGAGAAGGACCCGCTGCCGATGAGCGGGCCGAGCGCGAGCCGCTTCGGATGCAGGTCCGTCGTCGTCGTCTCCTGGTTCTCTGGTGGCATCTGGAATGTCCGTCGCAGCTGTCGGCGCAGCTTCTCCGCCCACATCGGTCGTTTCGCCATCTTGATACTTGGAACCTTTTGTTCCGCCGAGAATTCGAGGTTCGTTTTCCATCCACTGGTATTTACAGCGTTTTATACAGAGTTATTTCATACACTGGGCACGACCACCGGTGTCGTCGTGAGGTTCAGAAGGTACGACAAATTGAGCGTCAAGTGCGCGAGCATACCATCGCTGCGGCCCACGAGCGCGCTGTACTCGTCGAGGCTAATGCACCCGTCGGCGTCGAGATCGACGTCAGCAAACGTGCGCTCAATGATGAGCGCGACTTGGTCGTTCGTGAGCAAAATGCTGTTTTCCGAAATGCTCGCGAGGAGCACGTCGTGGACATCGGTCTTGGAGAGCTTGCCGTCGCCGTCTAAATCGAGGATCGCAAACGAAACTACACAGTGGTCAGCATATTCTGTAACATACAGAGTATGTACATGTACACGCAATTTTGTCGGCGAGCGGCGCTTTCGTCGAGAGGAGTGTGACGACGTGAGTAAACTCGTCAAACGTAATGAGTCCGTCCTTGTTGGTGTCCATGAGCGTAAAGATGCGGTCGACATAGAGCGACTCCTTCTCAGGGAGTCCGAGCACGACTTGAAACTTGCGCAAATCAATGCCGGGCGACGCCGGCTCGCTCGAGATGGCGCTGCCGTCCATCGCCCGGCTAAAGTGGCCCCCGAGGATCTCGAGCTCGTCGGGTGTGAGTCGCGTCTTTGTCTGTGCGGCTGAGAGCACGCGCGGCGTGAGCACGGGCGTTGGCGGCGCCGTCTCGAGGACGACAGACCCCGCGGCGCCCATCGACGTGGAGTATAAAATAATTATTTCACTTTACACTCGGAGATTGTATGCAGATAGCCTTGATTGTATTATAAAACGGCGGAAACGGCCGCCGTTTCGACAGCCGGCGGCGGGTCGCGTCCTAAACACTGTACAAGACAGAATTTCAGATCCACGCACGCTGGATGGATGGAATCGATCAACTCCCCAGTAGCGACGCGACCCTTACCTGGTATAAGTAGAGTAGACTCAGTGACTCGCGGATAGAAAAACGACTAGCGTACGTCGATCTACAGCACGTTGCTATACGCGTCGATGGCGCCATCGGTGGTTGCTTGGGACACGTGCGGCCGGGCTTCGATCGCAACGGATCTCGAGCGTTCTCCGACGCGCGGAGGTTGGTGCTGCTACGGACGGGCAGAGAACACATAGCTTCTTCTTTTTATATCGCGGTGGCATGTCCAACGATCTGAGCTTGACAACCTGGATCGGCGACCTTGGACTTGCTTATCGACTCCGGAACCGGTTGAAACGTGAGGCCAACCGGATTAGCTAACCGGATTGGAGTTGGGGTGGGTGCGTAGTTTGCATAAATTCCGGACTGCACGCTCCGGAAACGCGGTCCGGCACCTTTGCAAAAGTCGGACGTGTGGCCGATGAACATGATGGACCTATCGCGTCAGTCGTCCCAAGGAGGGCAGAGCCCACCGGTGGGCGGCCCCGGGAGCGGCCTCGGGTCGGAGCAGCTGTACCACCTCGTGCTGGAGCTCTCGGTGCCCGAGCAGCGCGAGAGCGCGCTCTTGGAGCTGAGCAAGAAGCGCGAAGAGTTCCCGGAGCTGGCGCCGATCCTGTGGCACTCGTTTGGCACGGTCGCCGCGCTCCTCCAGGAGATCATCTCGATCTACCCGCTGCTGTCGCCGCCGCAGCTCACGGCGCACGCCTCGAACCGCGTCTGCAACGCGCTCGCGCTCCTCCAGTGCGTCGCGTCGCACGCCGAGACGCGGACGCACTTTCTCAATGCGCACATCCCGTTGTATCTGTACCCGTTCCTCAACACTGTGAGCAAGAACCGCCCGTTCGAGTACCTCCGGCTCACGTCGCTCGGCGTCATTGGCGCGCTCGTCAAGATCGACGACACGGACGTCATCAACTTTCTCCTCCAGACCGAGATCATTCCGCTCTGCTTGCGCATCATGGAGGCGGGCAGCGAGCTCTCCAAGACCGTCGCGACCTTTATCGTGCAAAAGATCCTCCTCGACGAGATGGGCCTGACGTACATTTGCCACACGCCCGAGCGGTTTTACGCGGTCGGGTCGGTCCTCTCCAAGATGGTGACGACGCTCGTCGAGACGCCGTCGACGCGCCTCCTCAAGCACATCATCCGCTGCTACCTCCGGCTCTCGGACAATGCGCGTGCGAAGGAGGCGCTGCGTCAATGCCTCCCCGAAGTGCTGCAGAACCACACGTTTGACGACGTGCTCAAGGAAGACTTGACCACGAGCCGCTGGCTCGCGCAGCTGCTCTACAACCTCAACGACAACAGCAACCCCGTGGGCGCCAACTCGTTTGCCAACATGGCCAACCAGCGCTAGGAGACACTCTACAGCTGCCCCCAAAAGTAAATCTTACAACTACAATATCTCAATCTCATAGCTCGGCGCAAAGACCACACGCTAGAACGCGGCATCGAGGCTAGGGCCATTTTGCCTCTGTGCAACGCTCTTGCAAGTCCAGGGCTCTAAGTCGAGAAAGGCGCAGGATGGCACGAGTTGTCGATATTGCACGAGGAGCGCGTTCAAGGATGAATACCTCAACCCACAACTCTTGAGGGTTATTGACCCTTGGCTCATTGGCAAGGCTTGGAGCTGCTGCTCGCGTCAAGCAGCCAAAGCCCCGAGGGTTTTCTCTCACGTCTACTCGGCTGATTGTGCTCGTACCGTCGTACTACATGGCGACATCCCTGAGCCCACTTCGCTGAGCTATACCCTCCTTCTTCCTCTCTACGAAGACGAGCGTAGTGCTATCGAGTGAGTACTCGAGGTATTTACGACTGTAGTATCCCTGTGCTAGAATAAGTTCTATAGTGTACACTTGGTCGTTGATCTGCTTCGTCTCGTTTTCGGAACCAGTTGAAGCATGGACGGTCGGCGCGTGTGATTGGTCAAAATGCCGACCTTGGCTTCCGAAGATCTCGAGCTCAGCAATAACGTTAACCACAGAACGGCAACCGCAACATGATGGTGGACGACGAGGCCGGGCGCTGCGCGTCCGAGACGAGCGCGCTCCTGCCAGCGCTGGGCATCAAGTCGGTCGAGCCCGAGTTCCGGCGCTCGTTCAAGAGCAAGCGGCGGGCCTTTCTGCACGAGGCGCGTGCGATCTGGAAGATGGCGTGGAAGGTCTCGCTCGTGACCGTGTGCCAGACGTCGCTGCCAACGATCAGCGCAGCGTTCTTGGGGCACCTCGGCAACAACGAGCTTGCGGGCAGTGCATTGGCCAACATTTGGATTTCCGGCGTCCAGGTGGTCATCTACGGCTTTGCTGTCGCGCTCTGTACGGTACGTTTCGCTGCCTCTCGCCGTCATTTCGTCAAGTTAAGCTCTTCCTAGCTCTGCGGGCAAGCGTACGGCGCCGAGAACTACGAGCTCGTGGGCATTTGGCTCCAGCTCGGTATCTTCTTCTTGACGCTGTTTTCGATTCCCGTGTGCATTTCCTTCTTTTACGTCGACGTGATCCTCGCCGGGCTCAGCGACGATGTCGTCGTGCTGCAGTTTGCAAGCACGTACGCGAAATGGTCGGCGCTGAGCATTTGGCCGCAGTGCGTCTACTACGCGCTTCGGTACGTTCCTTATGCTCGCGACGTCGTGCTGATGCTGGCTCGGGGTAGACAGTACTTTCAGGCCCAAGAGATTGTGACACCGGCGACCGTCATCAACGTGCTCAGCGTCTTTGTGTGCATTGGCGCCAACTACATTTTGATCTTTGGCATCCCCAACTACTTTGACGGCCTCGGGTTCATCGGGTCGCCGTTGGCGCAGTGCATTGCATCGATCTTCCAGCCGCTCTCGCTCCTCGTGTATGCCTGCTACTTTCAGCGGCACCACGAAAAGACTTGGTATGGCTTTACATGGGCGTGTCTCGAGCGCGACCGCGTCAAGCGCTTCCTCCTCCTCTCGATGGGCATGACGATCAACATGGCCATGGACGAATGGGTCTACTCGATCGCTACGTCGCTCGCCTCGTACCTCGGGCCCGTCGTGCTCTCGGCCAACAGTATTCTCTTCAACCTCTGGAACCTCGTCTTTGGCGTCTACTGGGGCTTTGGCCTCCCGACCCAAGTCCGCGTCGCCAACTTTCTCGGGTCGTACCAACCCGAGCGGGCCAAGACGACGATGCTTGTGGGCTTTGTGCTGGGCACGGCCGCCAGCGTCGGGTCGGCGCTCCTGGTGTACCTCTTTCGCTATCCCATCGTGTCGGCGTTTACACCGGACGCCGAGCTCCAGGCCACGATCCATGTGGCGCTGCCGATCTTTTGCATTGGTGTCGCCCTATCGGGTCTGCACCTCGTGCTCGCGGCCGTCGTCGAAGGCATGTCGCTCGCATCGACGCTCGTGTGCATCACGGGTGTCGGGTCGTGGGCCATCTTGCTGCCAGCGGCGTACGTGCTCGGTATCGTATGGGACATTGGCTTGCCAGGGCTCTGGTGGGGCAGGTAGACTATGTGTCTACGCATATGGCGCTCATAGCGTCCGTCGATAGTGTGTTGGGCGAGCTCGCCAAGTTTGTCATGATGGCCTTCTTCCTCTCGCGCATCAATTGGGAAGAAATGGCGATCCTCGCGGTCAAAATGTCGGAAGGCGAACTCGACGAAGACGAAGTCGAGGCCGATGTCATCCAGCGCATGACGCGGTCCATGTCGACGCCGTCGCTCCTCAGCAATCCCGTGCTCTCCAACTTTTCGACGCCGCAGCAAGTGCGCCCCGTGCACCGGCTCACGGACGACGAGCGCATGACGCACCTCATGCACGCGCACGAGCACGCGACGCGCCACTACGGCACGAGCGAGAGTTTGTAATTTGACTAGAGTGTGCACAAGCTTGTAGTACAGTCGTCGACCTCGTCAATCTACTCGTCGTCGTCGCCCTGTTGCTCGTCGTCCGACTCGGTCGCGCGACCCGCGTTGCGCGCGGCCGCAGCCTCCTTTTGCACCTTCCACTCGTCGAACGGCAACGTCGCGTAGCTGAACGGGAACGCATCGAGCTGGAGGAGCCAGAGCGGGAAGATCGCGTGCTGCTCTTCCTTGTCCATGATTTCGGGAAAGATCTGGTCGCGCTTGAACGCCTCGATGCGCGCGAGCTGCGCGGGCTCGTCAAACTCCAAGCTCGGCCGGTGGTTTTCATTCTTGTCGTTGTACACGTCAAAATGGGCCTTGGCGAGGTACAAGCCGGCGCTCGGCGCCTTTGGAAGGTCCATTTTGGTCTGTTCAAACGCCTTGGCGATCGTTGCGATCGGCGTCGCACCGCGAAGGACGTCGATCATCGTGCCAATCATCTTGCGAATGTGGTGCAAGAGAAAGCTCTGGCCAATCACGCGCATCCGGATCCACTCGGCGCCATTGAGCACGAACGGCTTGTCGGCCTTGAACGACATGATGTACCGGTTGCACCTACCGAGTTGACTATCAACTTGATATTTTGGAGGAGATGCACCGACTTGGGGCTGTACGGCGGCAGCTTGGACGTAAAGTTGTGAAAGTTGTGCGTGCCTTCGTAGAGCGCGAGTGTTTCTTGGATCTTGTCGTACGTTGCGTCGTCGAGCCGGTACTCCTTCTGCGTTTGCCACGCCGTTTGGTCGACAGCGAGGTTGGTGAAGATCTCGTTGGCGTGCGCATCCCATGGCTGGTCGTTCGAGACGGACGACGACCGCGCGGCCGCCGGCTGAAACACAAACGTCGGCGCGAGGTACTCGTACGTGCGGCGGTCGCACGAGTTTTTCGCGTTGAAGTTCTTTGTCACGGCGACGACTTCAAGGACTAGAGAGGAACGTGTGAGGATAAGGCGACGATGCTATCTGTACCGCGAATGTCCTTGGGCAAGAACGAGTTGACCTTGTCGCGGAACTCGTCTTCGGTGCCTTCGACGCAGAGCTTGGCGCACACGAGCTGCCCGGCAGCGTGGACCCCCTTGTCCGTGCGCGCCGCGCGATTCCAGCCGATCTACACCAATACGGGTCGCCATGAGAAGCAAGGTCGTAGAAATGGATCGGACCTTTTGGATAAGGCCATAGTTGCAGCGTGCAATGGCGCCAGCGTTGTACAACGCTTGCTCGAGCTCGGCCTCGACCGTCTTGACGCCAATGTTCCTAGTAGGGACACGCCAGTATTCAGCACGTCGCCGCCATTGTCGCCAGCGTACATTTGCATGCCCGAGTACTCGCGGCCGCAGTAGGCGATGAGGAGGCCATAGCGGCGCTTCGGGCCCGACCCGCACTTGTCGGACGTGTCAGTCGGGTCGAGCTGCGCTGCGTACGAGCCGGGATGGATCACGGTCGGAAAGTGGTTGCGCCGGTCAAAGTCGTCGTCCGCCGGCTTCTTGGTCGCTTCATCGGCAGCAGCATCGTCTTCGCCCTCGGCGTCCTTCTTGGCCTTCTTGGCCTGCTTCTTCTCGTACCAATGGACGCGCTTGCGCTGCTTCCCGGCCATGCTGCGTTGCTTTTGGATACAGGCCGGAAGCATCCGTATACCTGCCGACGTATCCGGAATGCGTACCTAAGCGTTCTCCTAAGTACGCTCGCGATCGCTACAGGAAGCTCACAGGGGAGAAGACCCGCACTTGATCGGGTCTCATTCAAAATGACTGGTCGAGGCGGGGATGCATATTATAATACGGAGTGCATACAAATGCCAAGCTATAAATAAAATGAGCGACAAACTGTTTTATTGGTGGAGAGTGTGGCTGGTCCAAAGCCTATGGCGGGTGCATGGGCTTTCGCCATTGGGCTTTAGTTTCTTTTGACGTGTAAAGTTAAGCAATGGTACGTGGATGATGCAGCATGCGAGGTGAAGCTCATGCCAGTGGATGTAGACCTTCTCCCGCTTCGTGACGATCGGCCGTGTGGCTCTGATTAACTACGGCCCCGACGCCGGCAAGCTCGCCACCATCATCGACGTTGTCGACGAGAACAAGTGCCTCGTGGAGGGCCCGTACTCGGTCACGGGTGTCAACCGCCACGTGATCTCGTTCAAGCGCCTTGCGTTGACGGACCTGACGGTCAAGATCCCGCGCCAGGCGCGCGAGGCGACCTTGAAGAAGGCGCTTGTCAAGGCCGACATCCTCAACAAGTGGGCCGCCACGGCCTGGTCCAAGAAGATGGAGGCCAAGAAGACGCGCGCTGGCCTCAACGACTTTGACCGCTTCAAGTCCATGATTGCCCGCAAGCAGAAGTCGAGCTTGATCAAGAAGGCCGCCGCCGCCGCCAAGAAGAACTAAATTGCTTTTGCCAGCCACATGGTGATTGAGGATGACCTTCTTGAATGGTAGTAGTCTTGCTTACATTTTGGGCGTCCATTCGACTAGAATAGCCCTTCCATCCTAGTAGACGCACCTATGAACCTAATGCACGACGTCGAAACACATACACCGCTTCTGTTGACATCGTCGACAGCCGTACCTTGTTGATTATGGACCTCCTGACCTTGGCCGAGTGGGCACAGGATTGCGCTCCTCGTCCATGCCAGCTCTTCAAGCGACACAGTCAAAGTGCATGCATCTCAAAGCAGTTTAGCGCACCGCGCCCAGCGTTGTTGCGCGGATGATCGAAAAGCTTGGTCGTTGCCCAAACTGCTTCATCCGCCCAAGTCATACCGGTTGCCGAGAGGAGCTGGCATCATTACGATACCGGTACCTGCCTCCGCTTTACCAAGTGCGTTGAATGCAGCAGCGCAACGACCCATCATCGTCTCGTTGCTTCAAGTGTCCAACCATTGCTACCCTGTAGACAATGACCAAGGTGGTAGTCGACTGCCGTAATCCTTGGACGATCTGGTCACATGTTGACGCGGGTTGCTCAGGGCTGCAACTGCGATGGTCGAGACTGAGAGCTTGGAGATGACAGAGTCAAAAAGTAGATTCCCCATTGGTTTCTCTTAGATGTCGACAAGAGACATTTAGTTCTTGGCGGCGTGGGCCTTCTTCTGGGCGACACGGGCCTTGAACTGCGAGAGCGAGCGCTTGACGGCCTTCTTGTACTTGGGGTCCTTCTTGTACGGCTTCTTCTCGGCCGGGGTCGGGTCCTCACGGATGGCCTCGTGCACGGCAGCGTACAAGTCCTCCATGTCGTCCGACGTGATGCCAGCCTTGATGTAGTCGGCGAAGTGCTTCTGGTACATCTCCGGGTCATCTTCCTCGAGCTCCTTCATGTGGTTCGAGATGTGGTCGCCGAAAATGCGCTCCTTGTGGACCTCAGCGTCGTACGACTTGGCGTCGCGGTCGTAACCGGGGAAGCGCTTCTCCGAATGCGGGATGTCGAGGCCGGCATCGGTGGCACCCTTGAGGGCGCCGAAGACGCGGTTGCCCGTCGACGTCGAGCGAAGGCCGACATCGAGGAAGGCGCGGAAGGGGCGCTTCTCGTCAGCGACTTCGGCGACGTAGTACGTGCGGCCGTTGGCTTCCGTCTTGACGACTTCGCCATCAACCTCCGTGTTGCCCTCGTAGTCACCGTCAAGGCCAAGCTTGTTCAACAAGCGGCGGCCGACAAGGAGACCCGTGCAGTAGGCAGCCGGGTAGTTCTTGAAGCCGCACTTGAGGCCGTAGCGCTTGAGCTCATCCGAGTAGGCGGCGGCGAGGATCTTGTCGCCGTCAATCTCGGCGTACGCGATCTGGCAGATCACGCGCTTGTTGGTGATGCGCACGACAAGGCGGTACTTGGGCGAGTTGTACTTGTTCTTGTCCTGCGTGATCAGACGCTTGCGGGCGCGGTAGTCCGTCTTGCCCTCGCGGCGGCGACGGTACTTGGTCTGGTAGCGCTTGAAGTAAGCCTTGCTCTTGTTCACCTTGACGAAGGTCATGGTTGTTCAATGGGGAATTAGAGAATGGCTGCATAGCTCCAGGTTGACACGCCTGTGCCACCAATCGTTGATATCCAACCAATCACAACGTCACCCACCCGGTTAATCGGGACTTTCAGCCAATCACACGCCGCCATTTGAAACGTGCTGGCCACACGATTCCCCACCCTGGTTAACCAGCACCGCCACCTGGCAGCACAAGCAGCACAAGCGGGCCCTCCTGCGATGGCCGTACAAAGGCTCGGCGCGAACGCTGCGAGCGCCTAGAACAGCGAACGAGGCTGGCACGCCCGAGACGGCAACGACCGTAGACTGGAGAGGGCTGGACAAAGCCACGTGTCCTAGGGTGTGGCGCATGATGGTACGAGCGTTTGCGTCCATCGAAGCGAGCATCCCATGGCGTACAATGCACCAACACAGAACTATGCACCAAGGTGGCTCGAGCATATAAGATCTTACTACTGGTGCTGCTGGAGCTCGGCGAGGCGGCGCTCAATGGCGAGGAAGAGCGTCGACGGCGCCTCCTTTGGAGGCGCGACGCTATCTTCGCTCTCGCTCGAGAGGCTTTGGCGCATGAGCGCGCCGACTTCGAGGAGCAGGTCATAGCGCGTCTCGTCACTCGTCGTGGACGGTCGGTGGCGTCGGAGGCGCACGTGGAGAGAATCGCCCTGGCGCTGCTTGAGCACGGGCACGATAAGGACAAGGAAGGCGTCCTTGACGTCGTCGCTGAGGCTCCGGAAGCGAAAGTGACTGCTTTCAACGTGGCCGTCAATGTCGCCCGTCGCAACGTACGAGAGCCATAGCTTGGCGGCTTGCTGCTCGGCGACGCTTGCGCTCCAGCTCGTCATGATGTGGTCGACCTCGGGCGAGTGAATGCCAAAGACAGGGATTGGGCCCACATAACTAGTGCTATCATGTGGTCCAGGCGTAATGGCAGCGGACGAGTACCTGCTCTGGACCTTGTGCCATCCGTACAACTGGTCGTGCACGGCGCGGTGGCACGCCGCGACGGTCTCGCCGAGGGCTTGCGGCGCTGCCGTCGATACGAGGCGCTGGGCCAGCGAGACGATCGACCGGACGCGGTCTTGTGTCGTCACGTCGGACCAGTCTTCAAGCGCAAGACCATGGTGTACCTAGAGCAGAAGCGATCAATATTGCGTCAAATGCTGCGATAGAACGAAGACCATTGTCTTGAGAAGGCTTTGGAGCTGGGAGAGGCACTGGACGAGCTTCTGGAAGGGCCCAACAACCTCGAGCAGCGTGGCTACGAGGGACGACCACGGCGCCGTCGCGTCGTCGTCGGCGTTGAGCGTTGTGACGGTGGCGACTGTGCTGGACTCTTGGAGCTTGGCGACGTGGGCAACGACATGGTCCATGGCATTGCTCTGTTGGGCTGCAAACGCCGCCAGCTCTTCTTTGCAAAACGCACGCAGTGTCTCCCACTGGGCGCGAAGCGACGTGGTTAGCGCCGCCTTGTCGTATTCGAGGACTTCAACCTTGATGCACAAGTCGGCGGCCATGGTCTTGAGTGGCGCTACCTGTGCGAGTTGGAAGGCTGCCCACTCCTCGCGCTGGTGCTGCTGGACGCTCGCCATCGTCGTCGCCACGCGATCGTGTGTGAACGCTCGGAGCGCGGCCACGTCGGTTTGCAGCTGGACCTTCTCCCGCAAAAGCGCTGCCAGCGCTGATGAGATATCTGAAGGTACAACGTTCGTATCAGGTGCACTTGTGGCATCTTCTGCCTCTGGCAGCGTCACGCAAAGTGCTTGCTGCAGATCGTTGAAGGCGGTTCGTACGACGCCCAGCTCCTGCTGGAGGGACTCTACTTGCGCGTCCGCGACACGTCGTACAGCGTCCCGGTCTTCGAGGGCCAGCGCTAGTTGTTCTTGTAGCGTATGTTGCTGTAGAAGCAGCAGCCGCGTGTGGTCTTCGAGATGCTGCTTGGACGCTTCGTGGTCGGCCACGGCCATCCGAAGGGTCGAGACTTCGTCTTGGAGCACGTGCTTCTCGAGAAGTACAATCGTGTTGGTTTGCTGCAGACCGAGGACTTCTGCCTCGTGCGTCGCCTGGCGCTCCTTGAGGGCGCGAGCGCTGTCGTGACTCATGGTCTGCTGCTCAACCAAAGCAGCGCGGCATTGTGCGAGCTCCGCCAGCGCCTCTTCGCGGTACCGATGCGCAAGCGCAAGTTCATCTCGCAGAGCCTGGACTTCGATCGCATGCTTGCGCTCGGCTGCTTCAATGCCGAGGCCGTGGTGCTGGCACGGAACGGGCTTGGCCTCGTCGACAGGCTTGGCCGCCAGCTCGTCGCGGAGCGCGTGCACTTGCAGCTGGTATTGCTCGAGCTGCGCTTTAAAGTGGTCGCGCAGAGACGTTGTGTCGGCCTTGGACTTGCTGAGCGCATCTTGGAGCAGCTTGATGGCCTTGTACGCGTCGCGCAGTTCCGCCATTGTCACGTCAGCCGGCAACGGAATGCAGAATAAGATTTTAGCCAATGACCTGCCACGTGGACTCGAATATCCATACTTTTCACCAATCGGAGCGTCGCACGCAGAAAGGCCAGCCCACATTTCATCGCAACAACGAGTTGGTACGTTGCATGGAGCGCTGTCGTTACCAAGGCGACGCAGACGAGCACGCGACGTCGTACACAGATGAATCGTGATTAACACGAGGTATTACTGGGTTCCTGGCGTTGGCCGATGGCTAATGTTTTGGGCAAACTCGGTCTCGTCGACGATGTCATAGAGGTACGCTTGAAGAATGTGCTTGAGGTAGAAGCCAATGAGGTTGCTCCATGCCTCGCCAATGTTGGGCGTGCTCTCGTTCCCGAGCCAGTACATGATGACTTCGATGCACGTGCTCACGTACACGGCAAAGTGGTGCGGCCGCACCTTTGGGAACACGCGGTGCGCGTGGCCGAGGTGGCGGCACCGGTTGATCATGCGCTCCGTGCTCTCAGTTGTGCCCTGGAGCATGAACGTCATTGCCGCGATAAGCACCTCGGCGCGTTTCTTGACGGACGGGAACACGGCTTCCATGCTCGCGTCGCGCTGAAAGAGGCGGTGGAAGAACTCGTCTTGGAAGAGCAGAATGCCCTGCTTGTCGTACTCCTTCATGCGGTCCGTGTTGGCCATGCAAATGTCCTTCCACGACTTGGTGCAGTCGACCAAGTACGTTGCGTTTAGGACTGGAAACACGGGCAAGTTGGCCGGGAGGTAGTGGTGCACTTCGTTCGGTGTCGCGAGCCCGTGCGCCGTGAACGCCACCGCGGGGTACTTGCTGTCATACGTTCCCGCTTCGCCGGACCTCGCGCCTTCGAGACGACTTGCCTTGGCGCCCATTCGACCAAATGCAAGGGCAAATCTAAGCGTCAATGACTGTTGGCAAGATATTGCCGCCGTGGCCGCTGATTGGTCGGCGAAACGCCGCCGAACGTTCTCGGCCGTCGCTTCCGGTGCAGTTGCCGAGGTACATGCATGTTTCTGACATCTGTCCAAGAAGTTCACGTCAAAAACATACTCTGCCACCGTGAGACGAGTCGTTGTGCACCTCAAAGTACAATGGAGCCGAGTGTATTAGCATAATGAGCCATGTTGCGTATTGCGAAGACAACCAGAGGACCAATGGGATGCATCCGAGGTTCAGCGACTCTCGACTTTTCCACGTAGTAGAGTACTTGTTGAGTCGAGGTTGCTCGACGTTCTACCTCCCTGCTTCGTCCATGGTCGTTTGAACTTGTGGCTTAATAATAAGGAACGCAGTGGTAACTCGCATGCAGCGCTCCAACGCCGTCGAGGAGATCCGCAGTGTATATTTAGTGCGAACCTTCGTCGCGAGATGCAAGCCGATGCAGAGATGCTTGGAGAACGGCCGAGCGAAATGGCACTTTGCAAATCCTTGCGCCATGTTCGGTCGGCTCGTTGTCTACGCGGTGTTGGTGCTCTCGGTGCTGGCAGGTATGCAAAATACCAATACGTTCGGTCTCGATTGATGCTAGTGTTGGGTATAGCCGAGGCCAACACAACGCTTGCTGCCAGCTCCAGCTCACACGACGCCGAGATTACAACACCGCCTCCAACGACGACATTGGTGCATGTGACGACTGCTCCAACGGCGTCATCGACACCAACAGCCACACCGTTGACACCAACGGCCACGTCATCGCCACTGCCGCGCACGACAGAGGCTGTCATCACAGCACCACCCGCAACGACCGCGACACCAACTGCACGAGCGACGCCAGCGCCGACCACCGAAGCATCGCGGCCAACGGCGCCTGTGTTGACGACAGCAATACCGTTGCCGGTCCCGACAAAAACACCCGAGTCGACGACGACGACACCGACGAACCCACCGTCGACAACCGCACCGGTGCCCCGCACGGTCGCTACTGTCGCTACGAATGTAGCTCCAAGCGCCACGCCTCTCGCCCAGACCGAAGCGGTTGCCATCATCACGACTGCCGACATGATGCACCGTACGCTGCTCTGTTTTTCACTCGCAAGCTTATCGCCATGTACCCTAGCTGATTCCTCGACGTCTTCGTCGACGGCTCCAACGACGAGCTCGCCACCGGCGACCAGCACGGGCAGCAACAACCAAGCGGGAACGACATCATCTGCAGCACCATCAAGTCAGCTTGTTGTGTCTGTCGTTGTCGTCTTGTTTGTGCTCTGCATCGTCCTTGCCCTCCTCACAGCGATTTGTATTTGCCGACGGCGCGCGTCCAAACGAAACGACGACGACGACGATCTTCGGACGCCGCCGTCGCTGCTCAGCTTCAAGTCGTCGTCGGCGTCAGCAGCACCCACGTGCTTGGCGTCGCAGCTGCCCGTGACAACGCCAAAGAGCCTACAGGACTCGCGTTTCGAGTACGAGCCTTCGTATACTTTGGAGGCCTATCGCGGAGGACACGGTGACCCCTTTGACATCGAGACCGAGTCGTATGGCACCGACTCCAAGCCCGACTACGCCGAGTTTCTCATGCTGGAGCAAACGCCGCGGAGCTCCAACCAGTCCGAGACGTTGTACGCAGCGAGCTCGCCCCGCAGCTCGAACGAGTCGATCTTTCTTCCGACGCAAAACGAGTGGATAGACGCCATGGACCGCGACTCGCGGCTCGACGACGACGAGCTCGACGATGCAAGGAGTACGACCGGCTCGACTGCTCGCCGAAACGACGACGACACTGCATCGCCCAACGTTGCAAGTAGCTACACGGTCTAGTCAAGACATTATTGTCCATGTATTTTATTAGTTTGGCTCACTTGATGACCTTTGCTCTATTTCCACATTGGCGTCACCGGGAGTGTCTCCACGACCGGCCGCGGCTTGGCCGATGGTGCTACCGGCGGCTTTGTCGAGGCAGCGTGCAAGAGCGTCGTTGATGGGACATCGAGGACCGTTCGAAAATCATGCGTCGTCGGTCGAGCATTCGCTGCCTGCACCATCGCAATAAGGAGCGCCTCGAGTTTGTCTTTGGCGCGGCGCTCGGCGTCGCACGCATCTCGGAGAACCGTGATGGTATGTTCGTCACTGGATTCCTTCTCACCATGCCGTCGAAGACGCGTCTAGTCTCCATGTATGCAGCAAATTGTCTGTCGATGTACACTACAATACCTGCACCTCGTCAAGGGCCTCTCGCTGGGCGCGAACTTGGTCCATCAAGACGGCGTTGTTGGCCTGCGACGTGGCCAAGAGCGCTTGAAGCTCGTCGTTGCGTGCGGCCGTCACACGGGCAGTCGTGCTCCAATCCTCTTGGGCGCACGCGTTGCGTTGGATCGCGTCTCGGAGCTCGGTGCGCAGCAAGCGCAGTTGGTCGTTAAGCCGTCTACGCGTCCATCCAGCCTGTAGTCACAGACATAACGTGTCGTCGGTACGTGATCTCATGTTCTTGGCCGAGCGCAATGTCCTTCCACTTGGTTTCGGTCGTCGCGCGGGCTTCAGCGATCGACGACTGCTCGTGCGCCTATACATGGACGCTAAAGATCGATAGCATAGCGTAATGCAGTCGCACGAGCTGCGTCACGAGGGCGACGGTGCTTTCCTCGGCCGCGACGAGAAGCGTCTCGCAGCGAAGAAGTGGTGGCGCACTGGGGTATATCGCAAAAGTTGTATCTGGTTTCTTTGGGAGAGCAACACAGTGAATGGCGGGTGCTGCCTCCTACAAGAGCAGTGGAGCATCGAGAAAGAGGTGCGCCCGCAACGTACTTGTAGCTCGAGCATTTTGCGAAGCCCGTCGAGCTCCGACTGAATGTGACGCTAGTGGACGTGGTTCAGCGTGTTTGTTGCTGCAGAGCCTTCAAGTATGCACCTGAATGGCGCCGAGCGACCCGTACCGTTCATTGTCGTCGCCGTGACGGTTCATACGGAGCTGCCAACAAGATACGACTTGGCCACCCCACCAGTTACAATCTACAGTAGTTGAAGTGTGCAAGTCGTATCAAGTGGCCGCTTGATACTACACTTTGAAGTTCTCAGTTTGACTTAGACGGTTGTTGCGAGTTCATGCAGGTCTCGGGCAGTCTACCATCCACTGCTAAAACTCGGCTTTATGCTACTCGTCAATGTTGTTTCTGAGTTTAACAAGCAATAAGACAGTTTAACAAGCAATAAGACAGTACAAAGAATGGCGCCAAGAGGAGTCATTGTTAATTTCAAACCGATAGGATGACCAGAAGCGAAGTGGAGAGTTTACAAGCACTGCTTGATGAACTTGTTGATCTCCTCGCCGCGGTTACCGTGGTCGCCGCCTTCGTTGTAGTGGAGGAGCTTCTGCGTGTAGCCGCCGTTGGGCGACGAGAGCTGGAACGGCCAGAGGAAGTTGGAGGCCTCCTTGAAGTGCGGGCCGCACGTGAAGATCTCGTGGATCAAGTCTTCGATACAGATGATGCCGAACTTGCCGAGGACCTTCTCAACGAGGGCGTTGTCCGTAAGGGCAATGCGCTGCTTGTTGATCTTGCCGAAGCCACGCTTGTAGATGAGCTCGCGCGTCGACTTGAGGTTGGGGTAACCGTAGGCGATGAAGGGCTCGACAAGGCGGAGCATGTTGATCGTGGCCTTGTTGAGCTTCACGAACACACCGTTCTGGATCTGGACGAGGCGGAAGAGCTTCAGGATCTTGCGGACCTTGGGCGAGACGCCAATGATACCGCGGATGCGGATCACGAAGGCGACCTTGGCCTCGGCCGGGACGTAGAAGTTGCCGGCGGCCTTGGCCTGGCGGCGGAGGAGGACGTTCTGCTTCTCAATCTAAACCACGTCCACATGAGATTTTCGCTCGACTGAGAGTGATGTTGCAACGTACAGCGCGGTACTCCTTGACGTACTTCTCCGCCGACTTGAAGGCGATCACGCGGACCTGGGCACGGTGCTTCTTGGAAGCGACCGAGGCCTCGGCCTTCTTGGTCTTGACGGCCTCGAGCGTGCGGCGCTTCTTGAGGATCGACTCCGGGACGAGCCTACACAAGGCGTCAGTATGGGGCTCTCGCTTGCGGCGACCGTTCCCAACGCATGCGCCACGAGGTACTAGGGCCGAAGCCTCGTCGGATCCACAGAGGCCGCGCGCAGCGAGTGCGTCACAGCGTGTGCCCGAGCGTGGATTTTAGCAGAGTTGCATTCGCAACACATGCCACAGTCCTCTACGTTGGTGCGTATTCGGCACAACGAGAGAGTGATGGAAGGTAGCGGCGTTCGCCACGGCCCGCCCTTGCATGACGCAAAGCAGGCCCTTCCACAATGGTTTTCAAGAGAAAGGCCAAGAGGCCTTACGTCTCACAGTCCCCAAGCGCAGAGCGCTTGGGAGGGGCTCATGAAGCGAGTGCTTGCGCACCGCGGGAGATCGAAGAGGGTCCGGCCGACCCAAGGGTGCGCACGCGTGGGTGCAGCCGATGTGGCAAAGCACTTACACGGTGTTCGACTTGGCCTTGGCGGCGGTCTTGGGGGCAGCAGCCTTGGCAGCGGGCTTGACGGGGGCCATTTTTCTTACTGGTCGGTTTGAAAATGACTTTGCCTTTTCGTTGTATACCTGCGTGGGCCGTGATCCGAACCACCCACCGAGACGTCGCGTCTTATTGGCCAAAAATCAAACCTCCGACCGTGTGATTGGCTCTATGGCTCCGACCACCAATTAGGGTGTGTGATACCGGATAAACGACGCGACACGGTGCTTTTACCGGACGTGTCACCCGTCACCATATGGCCGGTAGATCGCGCAACATGCAGCACGTCCAGCATCGTCGACTCAGCTCAATGAAGACGAGCCGGTGTACACGAGGAGTGTACTCGGCATGTGTCGGCGCGATGGTATATACCTTGGGGGAGCGATGCAGTCGGGCGCGTATATCTTTGCTACAAATATACGTTTATATATATATAGAGTTGCATACGGTTTCGTCTCTGCGGACGAGGTGGTGCGCTCTTGTGGTGTTGTTGCAGCGCAATGGCGGGGCCCGCGTATACAACGTTCACCGTCTACGGCACGCTCTTCAAGGTCGACGTGCGCTACCAGTTTATCGCTGCCCTCGGGCGCGGCTCGTATGGCATCGTGTGGTATCTCGTCGCCTCATGCGCTTCGTTGACCAATAAGACTGTTGTCTTAGTTCGGCCAAGGACGTCGCGACCGGCGAAAAGGTGGCCATCAAGCGCGTGTCGCCCATGGCTCGCAAGACGAGCGACGCCAAGCACACGCTACGTGAGATCAGCCTCATGCAATGCCTTGGCAACCACCCGAATGTACGTACTCTCTGTCCTCGCATCGCATCTGCTCAAGGGACGCCGTAGATCGTTAGCATCAAGGACATGTGCGTCAACGTCGCCGACGACGAGCTGTACATCATTATGGACTTTATGGACACGGACATGCACCGCGTGATCCAGAGCAGCCAGGTACATGGTGACGCCGCTACTTGTCGATCTAACTTTATTTTCTCTATTGTAGGCGCTCTCGGACTCGCACCACCGGTACTTTCTCCACCAAGTGCTGCGCGGCGTCAAGCACATGCACGACAATGGAATCCTGCACCGCGACCTCAAACCCGGCAACATTCTCGTCACAAAAAGCTGCCAAGTCAAGATCGCCGACTTTGGCTTGGCGCGGACGTGTACGCGGAGCAGCGAGAAGCGCAAGGGTCGGCCTGCCTCGGCGAGCATTACCAAGGTGGACGGTGCCGCGGCGTCCGAGAGCGGCGACTGGCAACCCATGACAGAGCACGTCGTCACGCGCTGGTACCGGGCACCGGAGCTCATGCTGCAGCCCGACGGCCACTACAGCACAGGCGTCGACATGTGGTCGATCGGATGCATCTTTGCCGAGGTAGTCGCGACAAGGACGCGGTGATACTAACATGCGAACTTAGATGCTCGGGCGGAAAGCGATATTTCCGGGCAAAAATTTCATCCACCAGCTCACGCTCATTTTTGACGTGATCGGCACGCCGTGCACGAGCGACGTCAAGAAAATGAAGAGCGCGCAGGCGCAGCGCTTCATCAAGTCGCTCGGGAAGAAGCCCAAGGTGCCGTTCCGAACGGTGTTTCCATCTGCGACGCCCGAAGCCATCGACCTCCTCGAGCGGATGTTGCACTTTGATCCAGTGAGCCGGTGCTCGGTCGACGAAGCGCTCAAGCACCCATATATGCAAGCGATCGAGCGACGGTACACCCCCAAGGATGTGACCGTCCCGACGCACATTTCGTTTGCCTTTGAGCAAGAAAACCTTGGCCGGAACGAACTTGTTCAGCTGATTGTGTCCCAAGTCGAAGGCTTTAGCGGCCGATCGTCGCAAACACCGGCGAGCATTCGCACGATCCACGCCCTCGCCCAGCAGTCGCGCGGCCGCGTGACGCTCGAGAGCCCAGAGTTGATGAAGTCGATGATGGCCGAGCCGACAATGACCGAGGTGCCAAAGACGACACGTCCGCCCAGTGCCTCGAGGATACGCAGTGCAGTGGTCACGCCAGGACCCAAGCCGAACGCGAATGCTCTCTTGACCGCCACCAGCATAGCCACTACGTCCACGACTGCGACAACGTCGACGATGACGGCTAAGCCGCGTCCGGCCAGCGCGCACCCGACCCGGGCACCGCCACCGATGCTACCGACGCGAACGACCCTCGTGTGCAAGGAAGCTGACAACGACGGCGACAAGGAGGTCGAAGACGCCGAAGCCAAAGAGATTGTGCCGGCCAAACCTCTGGGGCCGGCAAGTGATTCGTCGTCGTCATCGGACGACGAGGCGGACGCGAAACCGGTTGTGCCGGCAACTGTGGCGCGCCCCAAGTCGGCGCCGATCCGCGGCGGGTCGGCGCTCAAGCATGCGGCACCGTGTGTCGCGTCGACGTCATCCCTCATTCGCGCCCAACGGGCCAACCAAGCCAAGCCAACAACAACAACAACAACAACGTCGGGAGCGAGTGCGAAGCCCGCACCCTTGACGCGCACCGAGTCGGCGACGGAAATTTTGCCCGCGGAGGCCGAGACCAAGGGCAAAGGCAAGAAGCTCACGGTGCCGGTGAGCCCCAAGTTTTCGGTCATGTCGTGGCAAAAACAGAAAAAGCCAGCGGCTGCCACACGCAGTACCACGCGCGTCAAGAAGATACGATAGCAGCTATTACTGTACATCGATAGTCTTCTCCATCTTGCCGTATTTAACTTCAGCCTGCACCACCGCCTTGCCCCATCTTATTCCTTGATCCTTATTTCTTATTTTTTGTCTGCGATGCGAGAAGCGACCAGTCGTATCTCAAGCGTGTATTACTCTACGCGCGGTCGGCGGGCTGGACGTCGCGCTGCCACTGCGCAACAGCGTCGCGCGACAAGTGCAACGACGCACCCCCGGAAATGGCACGGAGATCCTGCTCGCGACCAACTGTCGCCGCCGCGACAGGAACGTTGGCCATCGCATCGGTTGGGAACTCGTCGTCACTGCCATCGAGCGCCGTCTGCGCCTTCGCCGCCTACTGAGAGAATTGAGCGATGCCATGCAAAAAATGTATGGTCGCTACCTTGTGGGCGAGGCGGGCGGCTCGCGTCTTGTCGATCGAGGTCGCCGCCGACGCAAGGTTCAGTGCGGACGTCATCTGGACAAACTGGTCGTCGTCCGTGTCGGCGGTCGTCGACGTCGAGTACTGGCTCTTGTGGCCAAAGAGCAGTGCCCGCTCGCGCTCTTCGGCGTCTTCGTCGTCGCTCGCCGACTCGCCTTCGTCGCTGCTGAGACGCGGCAGCACCGGTGCCTTCTTGCCAAAGAGCAGCTCCCGCTGGCGCTCTTCTTCATCTTGGCTGTCGTCGTCGTCATCGTCGTCGATGAGATCCGTGGCGGCAACGACCGGCGTCTTCTTGCCAAAAAGGAGTTCGCGCTGGCGCTCTTCTTCGTCTTCGCTGTCGTACTCGTCCTCCTCCTCGTCGTTGTCGTCACCAGGCATCATGACGCGGGTCTTGCGCACCGCTTCTTCGGCTTGGCAGTTGGTCAAGTACGTTTCCTACAAAGACCGTGAGACATTACAGAGCGAGATATGAGATGGTGGCACCTGCGCAACCTGGACTTCCTCGCTCGTCTCGCACGCCGCATAGGCGTCGAGCGCCTCCGCGTTGAGCTTGAGGAACTCCATGCCCCAAGGAAACTCGTCCATGAGCTGGATCGCTTCGTCCTGCATGCCCACGATGTAGAGCGTCGCGGCAATGGCCTCGACGCACGTGAGCTTGAAGGGCTTGCCGTAGTTAACGGTATTGGCCGCGACAAGCATCGGCAGCAAGCGGTGGCTGCCCGACTTGATCTGCTTGATGGGCATCTCCTGGACGCGCGCCCACGAGCAGTCAATGACCGAGATACCAATCGAGGTGACGATCGAGAGGTCTTCGCGGGACACGACCTTCTCACCGTGCGGCGAGAGCACGATACCGCGAAAGTGCGCGCCCGGCTTCATGCTCTTGACGTAACCGAGGCGGCAGAGCTTCCGGCCCGTGCAGCGCTTGGCGTCGCACTGGTTGAAGTCCCACATGCGCAGCGTGACCGGGAACGACCGGCGGGCGAACGCAAGGTCCGACTCTTCCTCGCCCTGCGCTTCGTCCGGCGGCGCGCCCCGGCGCTTGTTGAACTTCTCGCCCTTGGACGAGCCGCCCTTGCCACCCTTGCCGCCGCCTTGCTGCTTGGCCTCCTTCTTGCCCTTCTTGCCACGCGCGTCCATCGTCGTCCTTTCTGCGAAATGCTCTGGGAGAGCGCGACCGAGCGCTGTGATTGGCTCGTTGCATCCGACCAGTTATTTGCCGGGTCATTTGCGCCAGCCAGCCACGAAATCGACAAGGCGCAGGCTATGGCAGGGACCTACCAGCTACTACTAGTACAAGGTTATGCGGAAGGACCATATACACGAAGCACTTTGCTCGCCCTCGGTGGCTTGCTTGATGAGCGTGTACGCAGCCCCTCGACCACGGCTTTAATATACCAAACGTATTCTACATACAATATGCAAGATATATGCGTATAAAAAGAGTGGCCAATATTAGATCGGCAAACAACTGCTGAATTGCAGCACGGACCAATCAGATGCCGAATAGATTCCACCAGTCATTTTCGTCGCGCATCCGGACGGCTTCAATTTGCACAAGTAACTGGTCGACCAAGCGTAATGTCCAAGCGGTCGGTGGAGCTCTCGTTCGATGCCAAGCAGGCCGACTCGGCGCCCGTCCTCGGTACGCGCCTCCTCCTGCCATGAGTGTACGACCAATGTGATGATGCTAGTGTCCTTCCGCGGCGGCCCACCCAAGGTTTCGTCCGACTTTCACTTTCAAATGTATGAAAACGCGGCCAAGAAGCGCAAGATTGTGGTCGCCGATGCGGACAAGGTGTCGTACCAGGCCGCCAACTTTGGCCACGGCAACGCCAACAACGACCTCTCGAGCTACGTCGTCGGCGTCTTTGACAAGGCGACGCAGAGCGTCCAGCTCTACAATGTCGACCAGCTCTACGTGTTGCAGCAGTCGGTCCGCGGCTTTCGCGAGCGCGTCGACGAAAACACGCAAGACGACAAGTCGTATGCGCAGCGCACGGCCGAGCTCGTCAACGCCTTTGGTTCCAAGGTCAGCAAGCGCATTGTCAAGAGCCGCGAAGACAACAAGGTCCAAGTTGGCAACATCACGGGCGCCAGCGCGATCACGCAAGCGCTCACGCAAAAGGCCGTCTCGACTGCCGAAGAGCTCGCGCTCAAGCGCGCCAACGACCCCAAGTACACGCCGGGTACGTCCTACGATGTTTCCAACACACTTGACGACGATCGGGATGTGCAGATTCGGGGGCCATGGATGCGACGCGTGCGGCCGTCTTGCCGCCGTGCAACCTTGATGCGGTCACGCCCGACAAGGTCTACGACCTCGAAAAGTGTACGCACGCTCTTCTTCTTCAATGGCCCACATGACTCAACGACCAATGTAGTTTTGAACGCTGATGTGATGGAATCGCTGTACCTCAAGGCCGACGAGCTCATCGGTCTTCTCGAGACATGTCCGCTCACCGAGTTTTTGGACAAGAACCAAGTGCCGGCGGCCGCTTACATTCGCCAGGTCATGACGACGCTGCCCAAGCCATTCGACCGCAAGAAGGTGGCGCTCATGCTCTACGTCATGTACCTCGTGCAATTCTTCCACGCGCGCTTCCCGATGCACGCGACCCCCGCGGACTTGAGCGTGACGCTCAACATCCCGCACGTGGTCATCGAGCAGGTCCTCAGCACGTTTGCCGAGACCGTTGTCGGTTCCAATGGCAAGGCGAGGTATCTCAACTTGCATGAGTTGACTACCACTGACGTTTGGTGTAGCTATGCGCAGTCCAAGATGCTCAAGGACAAGCTGCTTTTGTACCTGCTCGTGGTCGCCTTGACGATCGGCGGCTTCAGCTTGGATTTGACGGCGATTGCGGCCGACCTCAAGCGCGCTCCATCCAAGTACGCCAACTGCAAATTTTTGCCTGATGTTTGACATTTCGTAGCTTGGCCCAATATGCCCGCATGATTGGGTGTCGGACAGACGCGGTCAAGGCCGAGGGGGGGCTGTACGCCAAGAGCTCGGCGGTCAAGGACAAGAAGACGATGGCGACGCGCGCGGTGCTCTCGGTGCCGCTCGTCTTCCCGACGGCCAAGAAGGGCTCGAGCCGCCGTTAAGCGACGTGGAGCGAGCTAATCTACTAGTGTACTACATTTATATCCACAACAACGTCAACCAAGATATGTAAGCGATGCAAGCGTCTAAAAGTTGAGGGTGTGTCACGCCCATACAAACCTGCGACGGATGGCACAGGACTCCTGTATCCGAATTGTCCGGATGATGATTTTTTGTTGAACAGAGACCGAGCGGCGCTCAAGGCATACAATACTGTAGCTTTTTCACGGCGCATGAAGTAGTCTCTTGCATGCGCACACTTTAATTGCATAGATTAGTCTTTCGAAACGCATGAAACGAATTCAGATGCACTTCGTGAGCCAGCAAAGAGTCCAATGATGGTCATGCTTGGACACACAAACATGAGAATGGAAGCCTTTCACGGCTTGCCTTACGACAAAACTTTGCAGGCTCTATTGTTATGTACTACCAAACTTGTTGGTCGAGTTTCGCCCAATATGAGCCGCCGCAGACCTCCATCTAGAGCGTCGTCATGGTTGTCACCGAGGATTCACGATTCATGCTCGAAGTTATCGACACCATACATATCGCGACTCCCTGCATCTTTTTATAGGGCGACCCGTGGAGCATTTCGTTTTATCTTGCTCTGTATCGCCATATACAGTAGACACGTCTTTTATCCTGACTATGGCGTATCGAGTTTCAAGATTGGGTCAGCTGGGTCAGCCACGGAATATCGAAATAGAGAGTGCGGGAGCCCCTATTTCACACGTTGGCCACGGAAATGCATGCGTACGGACTGTACGGATACGATGGCCAACAGCCTTCCGACTTCATTTTTGAAAACGGCTGGTGAGGGTTCCCGCGTCGATAGGATGGCCAACGAGTACATGGGACGTCTGCGCGGAGCCACGCCGCAACGGCGAGCGAAAAATCGAGCCGTTTTCTTTACAACAAAGGCCAAGGAACTAGTATGCCTCCGCATCAACGGTCGCGTGTCCGGCGTCAACGCACTCGTCGTCGCACCGGTTCAATCAATCATCAACAATACACCGCTGATGAACGACATGTACTCCTTGTTTGCGAAATACTTGTAGCTCGGCGGCGAAGGCAAGCCGCCAGCGGGTTGGTCATCAACTGCATGTACATGGCAGTTTGCGTCGAAGGTGGAAGAAAACCTTCACACGCTTTCGGGTGCCCCGCGCACTCCAGCGAGAACGTTTACTCGAATAGAATTGTTGCGATTATGAGGATCGGAGGGCATCCATCAACGCGGTCTGCCGACAATGGGCGACGCGCGCGACGACCAATAATAGAACCTGCCAACAACGTTCACATCACCTCCGTACGGAGATAACAGTCGACACTCTGTCTCTGTGTCGAGACACAATGTAGGCATACATCTCGGTACGGAGACACCTTTCGCCTCCGTGTGGAGACACATTGTTCGCGTTGAGTGTCGGTACCGAAATGTATAACAACGTTGTGTCAACGACAGTTCTGGGTCCGTGTCCTTTCGCGAAGAGCCTCCACCAAGAGGAGGCGAGACCTTCTGTGGACCAATACGAACCCGCGACTCTTCTTCCATGCACCATAGATCCATAAGCTAACGTTAGCATGCAATTCACTATTGCTTTTCACACCAACTGTCAGCACAAGCCATCTATTAGTGCATCTGATCGATCTAGCGCGTGATCAAACGTAGCGTCGACACGGAGACTACTTGTTGTCCTGGGTCTCGGCAAGGAGACGCAGTGTCGTCATTAGTCTCGACACGGAGACTCCGTGCTGTCATTAGTCTCGACACGGAGACTCCGTGCTGTCAGGAGTCTCGACACGGAGACTACTTGTTGTCTACAATCTCGACACGGAGACAAGATATTGTCATGCATCTCCACACGGAGACACGATGCTCGCATCTATCTCGGTCCGGAGACGAGTGTCGGCCTGTTGTCTCCGTGTCGAGACGCAACATTACCACGCAACTCGGCATGAAGACACACGTTGGCATCCATCTCGATACGGAGACACGTTTGATGGACGGCGGCGTCGCGCCTCCGAAGACCAGCAACAAGATGTAGCCAGCATCTTAGCAATGCGGCTACAACTTCCGTCCACGACTCGCGCGCAAGAATCAACGACCGTGCATGGGAAGGGGTGTTAGAAGTCTGAGCCCCGTGCCGTGACACGGTCCGAGATGTGTGTAGGAGAATGCAAATATGCAAGTGATATTGCTCGTTGTGTAAGCTAGACTTTTGGTAATGTGCATAGTATGGAGATAGTATGGAGTTCTGTTGGTCTAGACCTATTGTCGTTGGGTGATTTTCAACAAAGGGCTCATATTTATGGCATCGTATTTCGCCAACCCACCGCGCTTCACCCGCGCGAAATACGCTGTCTGCATTCCGCCAAGCCGGATTTGAAATCGACGCTTGCACGTCCTGCACGTAGCGCGTCTTGCCATTGCTCGTCGCGTTGCTGAACACTCTCCCTGGGACCCTTCATGTACAGTGAGAAAGCCCAGGAAAGATCAGATGTGTACTCTGAGTAGTGCAACTTTGTGCCAAGGCACTTGCCGACACTGACCAGCTCGCAGACATTTACACAATTTCTAACGTTAAGACAACATGTTGGCTATGTACTAGTATCTCCGTATCGAGATGGATGCAAACATTGTGTCTCGGTATGGAGACTCATGGAGATCTTATGTCTCCATACGGAGATAAGGTGCCAACAGATGTCTCGACACAGAGATCATGGTGTCTCGGTACGGAGAGCGAAGATCTCCCTACGGAGAGTGATGCATACTGTGTCTCGTCACGGAGACGCATTGAACACACCAAGGTGTTCATATGTAAGAGGTGTTCATATACGGAAGGTAAAGTTTCACTGGCTACGAATGACTTTGCTTTTTGCTTCGTTGTTGCCAAGCCACAAGGAGGTCAGACCACGGCGACATGTAGGCGGACGATCCCACCAAGTGCCTGACGAAGGGTCTCTGCTCCTTCTGCGCATCTCTACCTCCTCGACGGCGCTCAGCGCGGCCTCTCGTCTCGACGGCGCTCAGCGCGGCCTCTCATCTCGACAGGGCGCCGCTCGGACACCATTTTCCGTCTACACCGCGCTCCGTCGACACCGCGCTCCGTCACGACACCACGTCACGTCGATACCGTACCTTATCGACACCAAGCCCTGCCCGTCGTCCATCTCGAGACCGGCCGCACATCACTTTGTCCCGCCTCGAATCCTCGACGACGATCGTAGAGACCTAAGCACACTATATTCCCCGTAGATAGTCTAACTATTGTCTCCCCGCGTCCTTGTATTATATGACCCCTTGTTCTTTGTTCACGAGAAAGAGAAACAGAATTGGAGGGGGCGACTCGGTAATGGGCAGGAGGCTGGATAGGGCGGGAACGTCGGCCACTGTCGCGCTGTCGCGGGGCATTGGATACGAGAGATCAAGCCGCACTTGTACCGTGTGTGAATGGTTCAAAAAATGATTGCGCAATGGTATCACACGTAATGATATGCCACAGCTATGAGCCGCATGCGCGCATGGAGCATCCATGACTCTATCAATCTCAACACGCCAAATGCTTGCACGAAGCTACGGGAGGCCTTGACGGACCACGATACATACATACTACTGCCCCATCGTGCGGCAATAGCAGTCAAAGCCCAACTTGCTTCTTACTGCAAGCGCTTGCTCAGGCCACTGGGCCTCGCACATCACACAATGACTCTGACCTTCTCTCTGTCTTGCCGAAGCCTCAGGCGCCAGATAATTCTAAATCCATTGCGCTAGCCTTCACATTCTTAGCTCCGAGACGCCTTGGAAGCGTAGCCAAATACAAATCATTCCTCCTTAAAGGGCTTTAGGGTGGCTCTGTCCCCTTGCGTCGCTGTTTCTGTTGTACGGGTTGCGCACAAGCCTCTACAGTCCTCCACACCTCATGCCAACGAGGCGTAGAAACCACCATGCGTGTCCTCATCGTAGAGAATGCTACACGACTCTGTGATGCCTCGTACTGCACGGTTGTGCTGCAACAAGTCTCCCGGCCAAGTCATGGAGCACACGCTAGGCTCAACAGTTGAATCTATAAGGCCTTCATGGCCACATCATCACTCTCGTACATTAGTAGAAACACGTCCTCGCTCTCGTGCAAACCTGTGTACGACTGCGCACTCCCTTGGAGCGCGTCGGTCTATGCGCATTGGCAGCCATGTTTCCCTGCAGCTCCGAGAGTCCGCAGCAGCTTGGTCCCCAAAATGCATGGAAAGCACTTGACCCACGCGAAAAGCGCTCTCTGTCTACCAATCAAAGGGTGTTGCGGTTCCTGTCTACCAATGAAAAAGGCCACAGTTTTTCTTCTGACCCACTGCGTGGGTCAGAACCCATGATATACACAGGTCCGGAAAAGACCGGAAGCCATGTTTTTATAAAATCACACTCGGAATTTGTATGCCATTTTAAAAATAGTTAATACTCAGATAATCGCCTTCGGCTGATCCCATAGAACAGTGCATATATATATACAGACAGAATTTAAGATTGTGTCAGTATACATCATACAGCACGTGATGGGGGGATACGACGAGGATTTGTATTTCTCGGCTGATTTGACGGGCAGTGAGCGGGCAAGCCGAGCACCTTCCGATCGGCAAGTTTGATAAAGTCGCCAAAGGTAGCCATTGCGGCAGACAACAAAAGATGAACTGCAAGTCTCAGTTGTCTCGGTCTTGTCCGAATTATCGAAGCATTTATAGTGCATTCAGTTGTCTCGGTCTTGTCCGAATTATCGAAGCATTTATAGTGCATTCAGTTGGTATTGGGTAATGCTTCGATAAATTGGGAGAAAAGTTTTCTGGTCAGAACTCGAGTTACTAGTACATGAGCCCTGAGGGAATATAATTCTATATCTTTCTGTCATCAGGCGTGCGTATTGCCGACAAACGCACGTCTGACGACAGAAATTTATAGAATGGACAGCGATTCAAAAGATACAAGCATGGGCTGGTGCAACAATTGCAAGCTCAGCGCCGGCACTGCAATGGCCAAGGCACAGAGGCTTCTGATTGGTCAATCAATACGCATTGGCTTGGCCAATATGATACAAAACAGTGCAATCCGCTCGGTTTCCACTCCTTCGACATCTTTGAACCCAAAATCTCTTTTCATGTTCTGTTACTTTGCATGAACTCCACTCGACGGTTGGCCAAATCCAGCCTAATAATAGTGCTGTGCTAACGGAGTTACGGTGCGCGGCGACTGCTGATGAACGGGTGGACGGTGATTTCGGATCTCGTCGCGGATTTGAAGGATGCCAACCATGGGTTTGGGATGGGCGGCGAGCCCGCATCCGCCGTCAAATCATTCACGGACTTTCCTCGCCCTGGCGCTTCTTATCGAGATGCTGGCGAAGGTCGCCGTCGTCCGTGCTTGGGCTCGTCAAGTTCGGGCGTCCGACCTCGAGCAGCTTTTACGCTTCCAGTACGGACACTCGAACGTACAAGGCGCCGTTTTTCATTCTGCAAAAGACGTTCTACATCATCTTGAGCCTCGCGGTGGGCGGCACGTTGCCCGAGAGTCCGTCCGCGTCGACAGTGCTCCCCAGCGCATGCTCGTCGACTATGTTCGCGTCTACAAGCTCCGGGCGCTGGAAGCCACATATCTCCTTGTAGTGCACGCCGTGGTCGGACAGCTCTAGACGCACCTTTAGATAGACGATACCACGTGTCCTTAACAACTGCAGGCGACTCGTCTATCATAGTAGTATTAGCCTACAATAGTCTTACGTCATTTAGTATATGCAAAGACGAGAACGGAGCGCCAAGGAGATCATGCTCTCAATTGTCTTTGCACCATCTTGGCGGCGCGTATTTCGCATTCCATCGCTGAAGCGCGCCGCCGTTGGTTGACTTCTCCGCCTGCCAAGAGTGTGGGTTAACAATCTCGTACTGAGATGCGCTCAATGAAAACTTCTACAGTACTGGGAGCCTTGTACCAATAGTAATCACATTGGCTCGTGGCCATTTCGAGGCCGTGCGCTCTTAGCCTCGGAAAGAAAACAGTCGATGCTTCTTAGCGTCAACAGAGTCTCTAGTTCTTGGAATGGCCCGCCATCGCACTTGATCTCGCCCTGCGGCGGTGGTTGCTCTTGGCAGTTGGCATTTTCTCGACAACACCACAGCACGATGCGCGGACTATTGCTGTTGCTGGCAGCCGCCACGCTCGTGATGGGCACTCAGCCCATGGTGCCAGCGAACGCGACCAACGCCAAAGGCAAGTGGACGCTCACCTTTAACGACGAATTCAACTCGTTGGACCGGGCCAAGTGGCGTATCCTCAACGACTGCTCGACGACCAACAACTGCATCTACAACGACGAGCTCCAAGTGTACCTCGCGAGCCAAGTGTCCGTGTCCAAAGGCAACCTCGTGATCGAAGCCAACAACGTGCCGTACGTCTCACCGTCCGCGGGCGCTCGGCGGTATCGGTCCGGGCGCATGGACACTTCAGGCAGCTTTGCGCAACTGCATGGGCGTTTTGAAGCGCGCATCAAACTTCCGTCCGGCCAAGGCATGTGGCCCGCCTTCTGGTACCTACGTATTTCGCTCCTTTCGGCGTCCATCTGACGATATTGTGCACAGGATGATGCCGCGCGGCGGACGGTGCTGGCCCATGGACGGCGAGATTGACGTGCTCGAGTATATCGGGAAGCGCATGCCCCACACCGTCCATGGTACGTCGTCGCTGCTTTGCTCTCGAGCGAGACCCAAGACTAAGAATGGCGTCTTAGGCAACTTGCATTTTGCCAATGCGTGCAACCGAGATTTGCACTCGGCCGCCAACTATTGCGGCGTCACGGGCGGCGCCAAAACGCTGGCGCTCAATGATGACTTTCATATCTATGCGGGTACATGACTTTTTGAGAGGATACGAAGACCGTGGCTATCAGAACGGATATACTTAGTCGAGTGGACGCCGACGTCGCTTGCGTGGTTTGTCGACGGTGTGCAGTACTTCAAGATCGACGCGACGCAGTGCCGAACCAAGCCCGCGCAGTTGATTCCGACCAAACCGTTCTACCTCATCCTCAACTTTGCGGTTGGCGGCGACTGGCCCGGCAATCCGGACGCGACGTCGACGTTTCCCCAGCGACTCTATGTCGACTATGTCCGTGTCTACAAGCAAAGTGCCCTCTAATATGTACTGTGTGCACCTGTTGAAATGGTGATGTGTCGAGCGCGTCAAGGACCAACTGGATGGCTCCGGTGCCAACGCTGCTGGGAAAGCGAAGACAAAAAGGGCAACACACCGGGCTTGAACGCCGATGGTACTGGGCAACGTACCCTCTACGGCACATGCACTCTCAGGGTACAGTGCCATGCGGAGGATCCCGCAGGAGCACCTGTACGTGGCGCCATCTGCTGCAGCCTCTGTTTTTACTGGTGCGCCAGTCGTCGCCGGCTGCATACACGCGTGTAACGCTTTCGCACGGAAAGGCCGGAGCAAGAGCAACGAAGCCGACGACGACTCATGCCGGCGCCCGTCCCGACGCATTGGCTCGACGACTTTGTCACGCCGGCCATCTACACGACGAGGTACGCATCGTACTCGGCGTCATCCTCTCACGCGGCGTCTTAGCACGCTCTCGATCCTTGGCTGCGCCTTCATCTTTACCAGCGTCGCGCGGTCGTCCTCCGTGCGCGCCGACGCTGTCGACATGACAACGCGCCTCATCGTGGTCATGTCGGTCATCGACCTCTTGGACGTGTCGTTCAAGCTCTTTGGTACCTACGCGTACGCCCATCCAACGCTCTGCAACGTCCAGGGCTTTGTCATGAACGCCGCTGGCATCTCGGGTGCGACGCCGCACAACGTCGTCCTGATTCTGACACTACCCTATAGCGGTCTCGTGGCTCTCGTGTATGTCGCACTCGTGGTACTGCTGGGTCGTCCATGGCGACAGCGAAGCGCGTCTCCGGAGCCGCTTTGGCGCCTATCTTGCACTGAGCTTCCTCCCGTCCATTGCTGTCTCGCTCTACCTTGGGATTGACGGCAAGTACGGCCCCGCGACGTTCTACTGCTGGATCGCCGACACGCACCAAGACCTCCGACTCTCGTGCTTCTTCACGTGGGTCGGCGCATCCGCGCTCTTTATCGTCCTCACGAGCTTCCTCGTCTGCCTCGAAGTGTCGCGCCGCGCCAAGCTGTGCCCTTTTCCCGGTTGCACAAGGTGTCATGCTGTGTGTAGGCAAGAAAACACTGAAGTCGAAGCGTCCGTGTCGGCCATCTACAACAAGCTCGCGGCGTACGTCTCGGTCTTCCTCTTTGTATGGGGCCCTTGCATTCTCAACCGGCGTACGTCCTCGTCGAGCGCAAACATGCGTTTGAGTCTCAATAATATCTAGTCGTCGAGTGGCACCAACGCCCAAATGACCCGCCAACGCTATGGCTTCTCGGTCTCCACATTGTCTGCAACAACTCACAAGGTAGACTCGTCGATTCGCAGCGGGTCTTGACACGGGGTAGGGTTTCTCAACGCCATGATCTATGGCGGCGCGTTTCGGCTGCTCCGAAAGCGCTGCGGCGGCGACGACGTTGAGGACGACACGGCGAGCATTCGCACGAGCTTGTGCTCGACGCAGCCCATCGCAGACACCTCGTCGCGCATGCTCTCGATCTTTGCGACGACGTTCAACATGGGCGAAGGCGCCGCGCCGCCCGATCTCGTACGACGACGTGTCGAGTTGCCCGCCACTTGTGCTCAACTCTGTGCTCTAGTCGCAGTGGATTGCGGTGGGCCACGACCTCTACGTGGTTGGCATTCAAGAGTGCTTGGACCTCGGCGGTCTCCGCGCAGCGATCAAGTCGTACCTCGAACGCAGCGCGCGGCGGCCGTTTGCCGACTACACGCGGGACATTGGGAGCACCAACACGGCCTTGGGCTACCACGTAGAGCGCTCTTTCGACTGCAGTCGTGTCGTATTGACGGTCGACGTAGGGCTTTATCGGTATCTTTATTTTTGTGCCGCAAGACAGCGTCGACGCCGGTCACTTTTCGATCCCGTCGCCGACCAACCCCGAGGTTGTCGTTGGACCATGGCGAAGGAGACTCACCGGAGGGGACTAGGTCAACTGCGGCAAGACGCTGCACATGCGCACGGCCAATAAAGGTGCTGTCGGCGTCGCTTTTCGGTTTCTCGATACGTCGATCGCGGTCGTCTCGTGCCACCTCGCGTCCGACGCCAAAGTGCTTCCTTGTTGTATGTACGGGCAGTCGGTCATGCAGCGGCGTGTAGGGCAAGAGTCAGCTCGCGCGGCGCAACGAAGACGCCGCGCTCGTGTGGCAGTCGCTCCACCTCTCGTCGGACGACCACGTGATGGACTTTCCGCTATTGCATCACCACACGATCGTGCTCGGTGACTTGAACTACCGGCTCACGCGCCTCCACGCGTCGCCCGAGACGATCCTCGACCTGGTCCAAGGCGCCATGCACCAGCGCAAGTGGCCCAAGCACGTCACATCGCCACCGCCGTCGTCGTCGACCACGGCCACGGACGACGACAATACCAACGAGCTGCCGTCCTTGTCGTCTCCTGTTCTGGACGGGGCGTGGGCACATGTGCTTGACCACGACGAGCTCCGCGCCGTCTTGCAGCAGCGCTTGGTATTTTCCACAAATTTTGGTGGCAACCACAGCACAGGTGGCGTAGGCATTTGCGGGGTTTGCCGAAGCGCCAGTCACGTTTCCGCCGACCTTTCGAAGGATACGGGGCACGTCGCTCTTGACGGCCGCCAAGATCAGCGACAGCTTCTCGCTGCATGTCGCCAATGGTGGCGGCGTCCGTGTCCCGTCCTACACGGACCGCATTTTATTTCACTCGCTCCCCGATTTGATAGTATGTAGTACAACGCCAGCGTCGCATGGAGGCTCACACCATGTCGCATAGCCCAATTTGCGCTGCTCGGGCTACCAATCGCACGAGAGCGTCGACATGTCGGACCACAAGCCCGTGAGCTGCGTCTTCCTCATCGCGACCAAGGAGTCGCCGTTTCAACTCCCGCTCGATGTGACCCTCTTGAGCGAAGCGCACCGCCCGTCGCGGATGACGGTATTAGCATTGGATACTATGGAACCTATTGTCTAGTGGTCTACTTCTAGGACTATAATGGCGTCAAAGACTGCACGATCGCGATCCAAGACCTCCATGTGCAGTGGATCTCACCGCACGAACGAGCATCTCTCGACGCCACCAACGACGACGGTCTCGACGCCGTTAGCGGTACCTGCACTCACGACGGCCGACGTTGACAATGTGTTTGTTAGACGAGCCGCAGCGCGTGACGACAATCTTTCCTTTGCCGCTCGAAGATATCTTTGCCGAGCAGCGCAAGGTAGGACAGTCTACCTCGTACTGTACTCATGTCCGCACACAGCTGCACGAACTGGCTGCGCGCTGGGAGCACGGCGTCGTCAAGGCCCCCGTCGGTCGGCACCGTCGGAATTTCAACCAGTTTCACGTGCCAATCGAGGACGCAATGCAGCGTGGCATCGTCCACCGCTGCTACGCGCAGGCCAAGCGCCACATGCACTTGGCGCTGAGCGTCCACACGAACTCGCGGTCGCTCGGACAGTGCACGCTGAGTCTCGACGACGCATTTATACACGCCAACCGCGGTCATTGGGTCCACTTCGAGCACGACTTGAGCGCCAGCGGGGTTCGAACCGGCGTCGTCCGTGGTCGCCTCATGTTTAAAAGCAAATAAATACACCGGTGTACTACAAGTAGCAAGAGATGCTCGCTGCAGAAAGAGAACATCGGGTCAGGCGGCTTGCACCCAGGATTTTGACCCTTCCTGTTGTGATCCAGGTACCTTTTTGTCTGATCGCAGAGACGATTGCCTTCAACATCTGCGCCGTCGACACCCGCCAGCAATTCCTGCCAGCTCCACCCGCCACAGCACCGTGCAATCACGCCGCCGGCTGCTGGCGCACCTGCGCCGGCCGTGGGACGACGCTCGACGTACTGTAGTGCTGCGAGATGCTTGCTTCCTGGACGAGGCCATTGGAAGGCTTGGAAGACTTCTCATGGCTCATGGCGGTGCCATGGCCGTGGCAAGGTCGAGCTTGGAAGGAGCTTTAGAAGGTGCACCTTCTGTGACGTGGCTCGACGAAGAAGGAGAAGAGGCTGCAATGTTGCCCTGTCATCCGGATAAAGCGCCAGCCGCGTCGCGGCGAGGAAGGCGCGGGCATCCGGATACGGTGGCTCCAAAAAACGAGCTGCTCAAAGCGCAAGTCGCCAGCGCCGAATCGTCGTCGTCAATGGAGCCGATGGCCGTCGTCCAAGCCCTCCTCTCGCCCCGCTCCATGTCCAACCCCGTGAGCCCGACGACGAGGCCGCCTGCGCGGTCGCGCCGCAACAGCGTCGAGGCCGAGCCCAAGCGGTACGTCGCCGTACGAGCGTCGACCGCCTCTCGACTTTTTGTTGCTGTAGGAAGTTTACGAGCTTTCCCCTGCCTAACGCAAGCAGCGACAAGGTACCTGCTTCGTATAGGGTCCTTCGTGGGCTCATGTACGCGTCTAGGCCGGGATGCAGCTGCCGCCGCCCGAGGCGAATCCACGTACGACCCGAGATCGCATCTTGCGTGTCGCTGTCGATCGTCGTTGATCGTGACCCTTCTCTTAGTCTTTGGCGACCGCGCGTCGCTGATGACGCCGCCGACGCGCGACCGGACGTTCTGGATGCCCGACAATGTCTGCAAGGTATGCCTGCGCGCTGCGACGATCACGATGCGACTCAAGTAGGTCTGTCGTGAGTGTGGCGAAGCGTTCAACCTTTTCAAGCGCCGCCATCACTGCCGCCTTTGCGGCCTCATCTACTGCCACGCGTGTAGTCCGCACTCGATTGACGGCTCGGAGCACGGGTACCCGAACCAGAATATCCGTATCTGCAAACGCTGCTTCAAGACGCTCGACCCGTCGACTGGCGTTGAAATGAGCGGCTACGATCTCGACCCCGCGTCGCCGACGTCGCCGCTCATGCCCATGAGCCACACAGTCTTCGACTACGACACGCACAACGGCACAACGTTCAACACGCTCGTGTCGGACGCCATCAGCGACGATGTTCCGGCCTCAACCGCAGTCGTCGCGCCGACGTCGACCGTGCCAAGCTTTCGCCGTCGGCCGAGCATGGAGCTGCGCGGTGCACTGGCGATCCTCCAGCGCCAGGACACGCCGCTGACGCCCATGCCACCGATCGGCGAAGATGCAGGCGCCTCATCGCTATTGGAGCGGCACCAGGTGCCCCTCCTCTCCTGAGCTAGAGTCTTCGACTGACTCGAGGCGTAGGACGTGGCAGCGAGCCAGCTCCAAGCACTGCTGCTGCAGCGCATGCAAGCCATTCCGCTGCCGGCGCTCGACCGCCAGCTGCTGCTCAACGACATCAACCAGCACATTTCGTCGACGACCAAGCGGTTTGTCGAGATGCCATACTTTCGCACGCACCTCGGCTTCAACCACCAGGACCTCCTTACCGTCAAAACGATCGCGGGCGGCGAGAGCTACAGCTGCGGCCTCGTGCAAGGCGTCGTGTGCCACAAGAACGTGAGCCACAAGAAGGCAGCGAAGGTCCTCGAGTCGCCGCGCGTGCTTGTTTTGCGCGATGGCATAGTCTTTGGCCACGCGACCGAGCGCCTTAGCTCGCTCGACACGCTTCTCGACCAGGAAAAGACGTACATGAAGCTCATCGTTGAGAAGATCACGCGCATGCAGCCGCACATTGTGTTTACAGGCCAGAGCGTTTCGCGGCTGGCGCAGGACCTCCTCGCTGAAAGCAACATTGCGCTCGTCCTCAACGTCAAGCCCGAGCTCCTCGCGCGCATTGCGCGGCACACGAAAGCGACCATCGTCCCGAGTACCGAGAACCTCGTCGCCGAAGACATTAGCGTCCTCGGACGCGCGTGCACTTCGTTCCACGTCGAGACGTACCTCGTGCAAGACCAGGTCTGGCCCTGAGTCTCCCCCGTTGTTGACATGCCATTAACATCGTCGTAGGAAAAACCAAGCCGGAAGCGCGAGTCGTACATTTACCTCGAAGGCTCCGAGGTCGAGGCCGGCGGCACGATCGTGTTTCAAGGCCCTGATAAAGGCGTCCTGCGGCAGCTCAAGGCGCTCTGGGTCGACGTCGCTGCGATGGCGTACGACCTCTCGCTCCAAGCATATGTACTCAACGACCTCATGTACCCGGTGGTCCCTGTCTCGAAAAGCCCCACCTTGCATGCTGTGAAAGGCATGGTCAAGCAGGTCGACGTACCAAACCGCCCCAAGTACGTTCCGTGCGCGTCGCCGACCGAGTTTGCGCTCGACTACTACTCGCCGCTGGACAAAGCCCTTGGCGCATACCTTTTTCAGGACTGCATTGCGCCCAGCACCAAGTGCCAAGTCGCGACTTGCCGCGTCCCGCTCATCGACCATATCCAAACGTACTCGTGCGGCAACGGGACCGTCTTGGTCGCGGTCGAGAACCTGCCGGAGAAGGAGCGGCTCCAGATCTCCGCGGTGGTCGACGAGGCCAAGCCCGAGATTTCGTTTTGGCGCTACTGCCGCGAATGCGCCAAGGTCGTGACGCCGTTTGTGATGCTGTCGCCGATGGCGCTTCAGTTTTCGTTTGGCCGATTTCTCGAAATCATCTTTAGCGTCAAGGGCATGATGCAGTCGCACGAGACAAGCGAGTGCGCCCACGATGGCCAGTCCAACCATTTACTCTACTTCAACTGTGGCCGCCACGCGATCCGCGTCGAGTACAAAGAAGAGCGACCGTGGTATGTGCAGCACGACAACTGCGTCCCATTCGACCCAATGTGGTACCTTGGCCTGCAGCAGTCGCTGGCACAAGAGCTTCTCACGCCGGTCGCGGACTTCATCGTGCTCATTCTCAATGAGATCCACGACCTGCCGACGAGCCGCGGGGCCATGTGTCTCGAGCTCCGCGTCGAGACAGCCAAGAAGGAGCTCATCGCGCAGCTCCGGCAGCTCATGGCCCACGGTGAGTTTTCGTCAACCGCCGACAACGACGACGAAGACTCGATTGTACACCGTTCGTGATGTGGACACATTGTCTGATGCACGTCTAGGTGGACGCCAACACCTTGCGCCGGACCTTTTACCATCTTGCGTCCGAGTGGGTTGCCGCGTTGCAAAAGCTACAGCACGTCGACGAGGTCCCATTGCGCATCCTCACCAACGAGCTCGGGGCTGGCAGCGCGCCGAGCAGCACCGTGCCCTCGCCCACGACGACGACAGCGTCGCCAACGATCCTCGACGTGGCCAAAGTCGAAGCCGAAGCGATTGTCGAGGCGCTACTCGAGGCGCCGCTGCCGCTTTCGTTGCCGCCACCGACAACGTGGAAGTCGACGCTGGGCAGTATTTTGCTCCGGAGCACAGCCAACAGTCCGCGCCATAGCAACCATCCGCTGGAGCTGCCCGAGCTCGTGACCGCGGGGGCGCCGATGCTGCCGCCGGGCGCCCACGGCCGCGTCATTGGCGTCTATGAGGATCTGCGGTTTTCGTTTGCAGCATACGCGCTCAACTCGGTCGAGTACGAGACGGAGCTCGCGGCGCTCAAGTTGCACGACCTCCACAACGTCTCGACCGAGCAGCTCTTGCGGTCCAAGACGGACACGAGTCTCAAACTCAAATTTGCGTCCACGCCCGAGATGGAGTTTACGTGCGTCGTGCACTATGCGATTCAGGTACGCACATTGTCATGCCAAGCTGTTGGCCATCGTATGTCCTCTAGTTTGAAGCGCTCCGGAGCCTCTTTTACGGCCGCCACGCCGACTACCTCGCGTCGATCGCGTCGTGCGCGACATGGCAAACCAAGGGCGGCAAGTCGGGTGCTAGCTTCTTCCGCACCCAGGACAAGCGCTTCGTCATCAAGTACATCTCCCAGACCGAGCTCCAGGTACGTTTGCTGCATGTCCACGTGATACGACCTATGGCGTGCTAGTGCTTTCTCGCATCGGCGGTCGCGTACTGCGAGCACATTGCGCGTGTGTACTACGACAGCGTCCCGAGCGTCCTCTCCAAGATTGTCGGCGTCTACTCGGTCACCAAGGCCAAATGGACCGAGCACATTGTCGTGATGGAAAACATCTTTGGCGGCGTCGACGTGGCGCCCGTCTTTGACCTCAAGGGCACGACACGCAACCGGTATGCGCCACCGAGCTCGTCGGTCCTCCTCGACGGCAACCTCCTCGTGCAGACCCAAGGACTACCGTGCCCGCTGCACCCGCGGGCGTACGAGAAGCTGGTCGAGGCCATCAAGCACGACGTGGCGTTCCTGAGCGACAACAACATCATCGACTACTCGCTTGTGATTGGGTACGTGCCGGACGTCGACTTGTCCCATGACGCGTCGGTCGTCGGCAACGAAAACGTGCACATTGGCAAGAGCAACCGCGTCCTCCTGGTCGGTATCATCGACTACCTCCGGCACTATGACTTTATCAAGCGCATGGAGAGCGTCGGAAAGAGCGTCACGATGATCGCGGGCCAGGACGCGCCCACGATCGTCGAGCCAAAGATGTACGCCAAGCGGTTTGCGGATGCGCTCTCGCTGCAGTACTTTATGCCTGTCCCAAGTCCCTCTGCGAGCACTTAGTTCTTATAGCTATAAATCAAACGGATTATCTCATGTCTTAGGGGTGGTCCTTCTTGAGCGAGTACCACGTGAGCTCTTTGGCCTTGGTGAGACGCAGCACGATCTTGTCGTCCTTCTTCTTGAGCGTCGCGTTCATAATGTCCTCGTACAAGGTCTTGATCTTGAAGACGAGGTCGGCGCCCGTCGCGTCCAGGCCGCGGATGCGCACGTCAATGGAGCGCGCGGCCCACTCGAGCACAATGTTGTCATCGGCAATGGCACCAATGCCGGCGAGGTCGACGTAGACGGTGACTGCCTTCTTGCCGTCCGCCCAGGCGTACGCCGTGATGGCCTTGTCCTTGGAGATCGGCGCCGGCGCCTCGGAGGTGGCAAGGAGGCGCGGCTCGCACTGGCCGTCCCATGCGTGGACTTCAACGTCGTGGCGCTTCTTGTGCGCATAGTAGTAAGCGTTCGTGCCCTTCTCGCGGATGTTGGACTCCAAAGCCGAGGGTGCCATCTCCGAGCTCATGATGCAGGAGTGTGTCTTCTAGAGGCAGATGATTAGTGACCGCTGACAAGGTCGACGTCGTCGGCGGCGGCAGCGAAGGCAGCGCGCGAGGACGTCGAGTGGGCTCCCATACCACACGTGGTCGAATCGAATGTGTCCAAGTGCAAAGTCGCAACCGGACCCGTGGACTGGAATATCCGGATAATTCAATTTCTAGAAATTTCTCAATTGCCTCCATTGAGATGTCCGATCGTTGAGGAGTGGCGCAAGACAGGTCGAGTGCACGGGCAGAGACGCTTCGTGTTGACGTCCGCTGCAATATGCGTCGCTTCAAGCCAGCGCAGACGTAGCGCGACCAGCGTTCTAGGTCAACGATGCGTGGCCCGCAACAGCCGCGCAACCCGAGCAGCTGAAACTCAAAGCAAGCGAGGTGGGTCGCATGCGGCAAGTGCGACTAGTGGCCTTCGTCAAACCAAATAAGTCTTGAAGGGCCTATTAGACTTATTTGGTTTGACGAAGGAAGTGCCTACAATGTAGGCTCTTCAACAGTGCAGCAACATGGCAGCCGTCTTCTCCACGGTCGTCTTCCAAGACCGCACAAGATGCATTTTGAGTTGGATTTGAGTTTAGTGCGAAATATCCGGCGGCCGGATACCGACAGGGGACGGCAATGCACACGATGACGCCGTACTGCTTCCCGCCGGCCGCGTTCGAGGCCGAGGCCTTCCGCCCGCTCGAGTTCCTCGAAGAATGCCAGAGCCGCCATCCGATCGCCCAGGTGCATCGCGACCTGGAGGCCTTCAAGCGCTCGCTAGAGAACCAGGTAGACCATGCGTCGATGCTCTGGCGACGTCTGCATGCTTGCGTAGCTGGTGGCCATCATCGACAAGGACTATGCCGAGTTTCTCCAGCTCTCGACCAAGCTCAAGGGCGTCAACAGCGCCGTGTCGTCGCTGCGCGAACCGCTGCTCGTCATCATGGATCGCGTTCTCGCTGTGCAGGCCGCCGCTGCCGATCTCGTGGACAAGGCCAACGCACAGATGCGCGATCTGCAGCAGCTCGAGCAAACAAAAGAAGACCTGGGCCTTACGATCACGTACGTCCGGTAGCTTTGACATGGACAGCGTCCTACCTACGTCTAGACTCTGCGAGAAGCTCGATCTCGTCGAAAGCCTTTTGCACGTCGCCACCGTCGACGACACGGCGTCGTCATCCGAAAACGACAGCGAATTGGAAGACGACGTGTACATTGCAATGCAACGCGACGACCAAGCGCAAGTACTCGAGCGCGTGGCCAAACTCACCGTCGAGCTCCAGTACCAGATCGCGCTCGGCGCCGACGTGCCGTCCGTTCAAGTACCTTTTGCTTCGCCTAGAGCCTCTTACCATAGTGTCGTAGGCCGAAGAGCCGCGCATGTCGGCCATTGAGCGCGTGCTGCGCGAGAAGCTCGAGGTTCGTTCGTCGCTATCGAATCGTCGATGAGGCCGATGCATTTGGATTACGTAGGCAGAGCTCGCGACCGAGATTGTACCCGACACATTCTACGCGCGCGACCACGTCATCAACGTCACCAACGTCAACCGGCTCTTGCGCGCTTACGTGGCGCTTCAGGAGACGGCGGTGCCCGAAGACATGGTCGGGCGCCTCCTCGTCCAGCCCTTTTTGGATTTGACGATGACGCGTGCGCGCTTGGATGGCCGCAGTCGCGGGTCGTGCGAGGGCCTTGGCGGCATCTACACAGCGATTCTCGAGTTTGTCACCAAGACGCTCGGTGGCGTCCTCGCGCTGCCTGTCTGCCAAGGGCCGACCAAGAATTGTGTGGACCTTCTCACGCAGTCGGTGCGATCAACTATTGCAGAGGTATTGACGGCTGATGGACGCTTGCGCAGGTGTGGAAGCCCGTGTTTGCCACGCTCTGCGAAAAGCTGCCCGAGATCTTCATCGCGTACAACCCCGACCGCATGTACCACGTACTATAATCGTCTTTCGGATGACCCATGTAGTCTAAGCGGTGTGGACTAGAACTATAGCGTGTCCACAAGCTTTGTACAGTCGCTCGAAGCGCTATGTGCCTCGGAATATGCGCGGACGCGGCTTCGGCTCAGCGTCACGCCGTTCGACGCCAAGTGGAACTTGGACGTGTACTACCAGCTGCGGCACTCGGAGCTGACGCAGGCGCTGTCGACGAGCTTGGGGCAGCGGCCGGCCGACGCGACGTATCTCCAAGAGACGATCGAAGACATAGTGTTTCCATCGACCAAGCAAGTGGCACTCTTGACGCGCAAGTGCTTTTGCGATGGCGTCCTATTACACGCACAAACCCCCCAATTTGCGCGCCTCTGCCTCGAACTCCTGGCCGCGTTTGTCCAGTACTGGCAACCGCCGCTGGCAACCGCACAGAGCCTCGCTGTCGAGAAGGCCAGCGGCATCTTTGGCACCGTCAACCACAGCTGCGTGGCGTCGGGCGACGATGTCTTTGCATTTGGCAACGACGTGCATCGACTGCAAACTCTGGTGGACTTCGTCCTACGTTTGATTTGAATCATGATGGATTATGTATAGATCGCATCGGAGCTGAAGTCAGAGCTACGCCGTCGACTGGCGCACGCTCTTCCCTCCGACGAGGCGGGCGCGATGGCCACCTCACTGCTCGCACAGGTACCACCTTTTTGCATCAGAAACGCTATGTTCATGGCTTGGCTTGTAGTCGCTACAGGACGTTGCCGCGCTCGAAGTGATCTGCTGGGACATTGCCGCCAACCTCGTGACGGACGACTGCATGAAGGTGCTCCCGGCCGTTCGGTACGTGCGCCTGCATGGTCCAATCGCCTATGTTGTTGCACTAGTACCATCAAGGGCCAGTACCAGATGACCAACAAACCCATGCCGTCGACGCCGTCGTTGTACGTGCCGACGATCGTCAAGCCGCTCGAAAGTTTCTTGGCAAAATGGGGGACCCCGCTGCGCAACGAGAGCGGGTTTGCCCAGCGCGTGCTCTTCGCAACGTGCACCACGTATGCGTCGCTGGCGACCGAGCTGCTCAAGTCGGCGGCCGAGCTCGAAGAGTCGCTGAAAAGCCGCAAGCTGCAGCGGGCCTCTGTAAGCCGTTCAGCATTCTGCACATGTCTTCTCATCATTCGGCCTAGACGGCAACGACCTTGGATGGTGTGTCTGACACGGACAAGATGCGGCGCCAGGTCGAGCTCGACATGCTTGAATTTGGATGGTGCGCACTCGATACATTGATACATTTCGGCAAAACAGCACATTGAACTGAAATGCGTTGGTAGGTTGGCACGCGCACTGCACGTCGAGATGGACGAGTGCGAGGCTTACACGGCCCTTCTGCGGCATGTAGAAAGCACGTAGACTCTGGCTTTGCGCCGTACGACCACCGAGTTCCGAGACGCTGGATACAGGAAACGTCAAATACACTGTTTCATCCCTTCTCTGTCGCACAACACGAAGCTCTCGACATGGCGGAACTCGTACTACCAGAGTCACGACCACTGTTGAAGTTGTTGTTGTTGTTGTCGCCAGGCCCCGCAATGTCGCTAGCTCGGTCTCGAGCGCGGCACGTTGCGTGAGCTCGGGCTCTTGTGCAGCCCGGACTGGACGCTCGTCTGGCTCGTCCGCGATTTGTGTGTCGTCACTGGCGCCGCTGTGGCGAGGCGACGCATGCGCCACCACTTGATGGCCAAAGTCAAAGCCTCGGGGCGCGCGTGGCGCTGGCGGCGAGGCTGGCGCTTCTCGCGGTGGGCATGCTTGTCGGGTTGCGGTCGTTTGGCGAATGCAAACTCGACGATCACAATACATTATTCGGATGAGATTTAAACTGGCCAATCAAAACCAGCATCAAATCAAGAAACGACCAATCACGGGCCGGCCAACATCGATTCCAGCCAATCCAATGGCGCGGGATCCTTCCGGATACAGAACGAGGAGCATCACTACGTGGCGCCATGTCCCGCGTGCACTTCGCGAGCGTTGGCCCCCGAGTCCTCACAGCAGCAGCAGAACGTATATCAAATGGCTGCTGCCAGGCTACGATCCGACGACCTTGCCCCGTCTTTTCTTAATGAGGCGGCCCAACGTGGGCCCTTGCAACGAGTTACCCGTGCTGGTCCACCATCACCAGGGTATTTGGAAGCCCTTCGACCATGCGAATAGCTAGCACTGTGCGTCCGTCAACTCCACACGTGACATTTCGGGATCTCGGCGCCGACGCAAAATGTATCTGCGACAGAATAGCACATTAATTACTCCTCCCTCGACGCTGCGTCGTCGACGTCGATCACGAGTGGTCGCAGCGGCTCGGGGCTTCCCAGCTACCCCACGATGAGATCGCACATTCTAGACGCAAAGTACCTGGCGCTGGATCTCGCGGAGCGATTTGAGTAGAAACTCGCGGTGCTTTCGCGACGTCGTGTGCTCGTCTTCGCTGGGCGCGACGCTCGGAAACGACGGTGGCTTCTTCGCCTTGGCCCGTGTCTTCTTCTCGAACGCACTGCTCATGTCGTCGCCGCCCACGAGCTTTTGCACGACCGCATACGGATTCCGCTTTGGGGCTTTGAGACTGCCCAAGGCCAAATTTGTCTTGAGCGCATCGAGCCGCGACGCGCTCTCGACCATGTGCTGCAGGGGGCGATGAAAGGCCTCCGAGTTGAGGTGCGACGCCGTGAGGTCCGTGAAGAAAGCATCCTCCTTCTTGACGAGCGAATGCGCGAGGACGTTGGGGTTGGGCACCATTCCGGGCACCTGCTTCCACTCGTCGGGCATGTACGGCACCTTACTTGCCTCCTCACGCTTGACGTCGATCGGGAGGTTGCGCTCCATCTCGCTCAGCATCGTATGGTTGATGCGCGCGGGCAGCGTCGGCGGGTCCGTGAACGGGTACTGCGTCTTGACCGGCATCTTGAGCGCGGGCTTTGTTTTCGTGGGCTTTGGCAGCCACGCGTCGTCCGATGGCTTTGTACTCGCCTCGAAGCGCGCTTTGAGCGGTGGGACAAGCCGTTTGGGGCGCAAAATCGCTGGCGCGTGCTCCCGCACCGTGTTGGCTTCGAGCGCTGACGTACTAAAGTCGGCGTACACGAGGTAGCATTTTTCGCAGACGGGCGCCGTCTTGTAGAGAAAGACGGGGTCGGTCGCAAACCGTACAAAGTCTGGAACTGTCAAGTGCGGATGGAGGTACTGCAGCACGGGTGGGATCGTCACGTCTACCTCTCGGACGGGGCCGCTCCCGACGTCCATGTCTTCGAGAATTCCAAAGCCGACGCCGCCCGCGGCCGCAATTACCGCGTCGTCCGGTGGCCATAGGACGACCGAGGCCCTGGAGGCGCGGAGGTGCGTGAGCAACTGTCGAAAGTGCTCGATCACCGCCTTGTAGCTGGCGTGGAGCAAGTAAATCTCGTCAATGGATCTGGCGCAGCTGGTGCACTTGGCGAGGACCGCATTCTTCTTGGTCGGTTTCCCGTCCGGCATGGCGCTCAGGTGGACGAACGCCGGGACTTGGGCGTCGGACGTAATGTTGATCGGACGATGCTCGCCATGCGAGAGCCGAATCGAGGACGACCAAAGCAGCCAGACGCGGTCGTCCGCATCGGTCTTGAGGTGCAGGACCATGCGCGAGATGCGGTATTTGTGGAAAGAGACTTCCATGACATGATCGACAACTTGTTCGCACAGGTACTGGATGTCGCCGGGCAGAATCGAGCCGCGCACGGGATCTGCATATGCACAGTATTGTCATTCTCAGCCGTTTGCACGATTTGATTGAAGGTGTACCAGGGTTGCTGTAGGCGTCGGCGCCGTCGAACGTCACGGCGCGCTCGTAGATACCATAGCGCGTGTCGTGGAGCTTGCGCACGTTCGTCTTGCGCTCCAGGAGACACATCTTGGGCGTCCAGACGGCGCGGATCATAGCTACATGCAAGCTAGCACGTTGATACAAACTTGATACTTACAGTTGGACGCGCCCTTGGAAACGATGAAGCGCTGTAGGACGCCGTTGTGTACTTTGGGTCGGTTGTACAAAAAATCCTCTGCGTCGCATTGAGCACAATATGTCGTTCAGGACGCGGACGTACTGAGGCCTTCGACGTTGAGGTACTCGATCGTCGGGCAATCTATGCCCAAAGAGGATGCAAGCACGGCGAGCGAAGCACATGTACCGTTCTCCATGTAGATGTAGTAGGCAACAATGTCAATTCCGCAGAGCTTGCGGCAAAACTCCTTCTCAATCTGGACATTGGCCAGCGACGTCTTGGCCTTCTTCTTGACCTTGCCCGACTTGGACGTGAAGTACCAGTACGCCGGCTGCGTGAACTTGTAGATGATCGTATCCGGGATCAAGAGCGACGGGCCGCCGCCAAACTCGTCCTTGCACCAGAGGTAGTAGAAGAGGTTCTCGACGAGCCCGTCGCCGTCGAGCGCCCAATTGGCCTCGTGCTCCATATCCGGCCTTTCCCACTTTGCACTTGAAACGACCAGATCTTTTTTGTATCTTTGCGATGGGCAACTCGGTCTGCGGCTGCGGCCGCGTCCCGCCGCCGAGCGACGACGCCATGGATGCGCTCTTCGCGCCGAGTCCGCGCAAGGAGTACGTGCCGCCGTCGACGTCGACGATGACGCGCACGCTGCTCAAGGTGCCACCGCCGACCAAGCCGGCGCGCCCAGCCTCGGCCAAAGTCAAAGACACAACGCCCGCCAAGCCAAAAGCGAGCACCAAGCTTGTGGAAGTCAAGGAGGAAGAGGCGCCGGCGCCACGACAGCACGCAGCCAGCGACCCGACGCCGACACACCACCCTTCTTCGCATCACCATCACCACCACCACACGCCGCATCCGCCCCCAGAAAAAGACCCCGGCAATGCGCTTGCGATCCGTCTCCTGGAAGAAGAGGATATCCTGTCCAGCACCAGCTTGGAGCGCGATGGCAGTGCGACCAGCCACGACGACTCGTCCAAGTCGCTCGAGTCGACCGCGTCCACCGCAAGCCTCGTGTCACCGCGCGACACCTTGTCGCCGACCACTTCCGACAATAGCTCGCACGGCAACAGCCGCAAGTCCAAGAAGAAAGCCAAGTACGGGCGCGCCAACTACCGCGCGGGCTCAAGCAAGGGCCCGCGCCACCACGCGTCAACCTAAGATCTACGACGTACACGTGTTGTGCAAATGAAATCAAAATTGGTGTTGTACTCTTATGCCTACTCTACGTCAGCCAATTTTTGCAACGTCTTTACGGGATGCTCTTGATGTACTGGAGGAGCTGGTTCTCGGTGAGACTGCCGTCGAGGCCGCCCATCATGCTCGCCGCGCTGTCGACGACAAACTTGAACTGCGGCTCGTCGCACTCGTAGCCGCCAACGCCGTACGGTGCGTTTTTGGGCGTGAAGATGAGCCCCTCGACGTCGTGCGTGATGCGTGGAATGAAGTTGCGCAAGACATGCTCGGCCTTCTCGAGTCGAAAGTGGTCCTTCATGCGCACACGGAACGGCTCGGCCTCCAAGTCGAGGTGCTTGTCCTACAAGGGTATTTAGCTGCAGATAAGACGAAGAAGACAGCGTACACTCTTGCGCGGCAAAATGATCTCGTTCTGGAGACACTGCAGCCGCTTCTCGAGCTTGCCTTTCCAAACCGGCGTGTTCTCCCACGCGATTATGTCGTACGCGAGGTAGCGCGGTACGACAATGTCGCCGTCTTGATCTTGGACGAGGACACCGTCGAGGAGCGTCATGTCCGTATTCTCATGCTACGTAGCAGCGTCGCCTCTTGCGCGCAGAATGGCAGATATATGTACCAACGCACGCTTCCGGGGCAGCTTGACGTTGACCTTGGTGAATGTCATGCGTCGCGACACGAGGTAGACACCGTCTTTGAGCCCGAGGAGGAGGCACCGCGTCCTACACGGTAATTTTTGAGTTTGAGATTCGAGAGGATGGCCTACCCGCGGGCCCGCCACGTCACGAGGTACGACTTGGTGAGCGACCCCGGCTTGTCGAGCGCGGGGTCGCGAATGTGAATCTTTGTCAGCGACATGGTCTACGTGGTCACGACAGTTGGACGAAGCGGAGAATGAGAGGCGATCGACGCACCTCGCTGCCGGGAAACCCTTCGACACCTGTGAGCTGCTGCACGACTCCGAGGAGGCGCTCGTGCTCCTTCGAGTCTTCGGGCACAGGCGTGCCAAACGGGAACGGCTCGACGTCGTCTTCCCACGTGCGGATCTTGCGCTTCTTGGTCTTGGCGACCTCGACGGGCGCCGGCGGCGGTACATACGGGGGCGGCGCGAACGGCGGCGGCGCAAAGGCTTTCGGCCGGTGCACGGGGGTAGACGTTGCGATGGCAGGGGCAGCAGCGACGATTGGCTTGGCCGATGGTGCGGGCGCGGCCGACCGCACAAAGGGCGTCGCCTTGTCGTCGTCTGTGAGCATTTCGCTGCCGATCGTCAAGGACGGGTCGACGGGGGCGGCGGACGTGTCCCACGACGGCGGCGCCGGCACGGACAAGCGCGACTCGGGCGCCTTGAGCATCGAGTAGTAGCGTCGGTAGAGCGCCTAATGCGGACATGCAACCCTAGAACGCCATCATGGTCGTTCAGTACCTGAAGGCATGGCACCGAGTAGATGCCAGGCGCATTCGACTTCTTATACAAGTCGATCGCTTCAAGGAGATGCATGTTGCCATGCTCGACAAGGTAGCTACATGTGTTTGAATCATCCTGTATGGACATATCTCGGCGTACCTCACGATGAGAAAGCCCGCGACGTTGTAGCCGGCGCCGCCAAAGACGGCCACGTGTGTGTCGGGCTCGTTGGCGCCGACGTGCTTCTGCACCGCGTCGCAGAAGGCCTTGACGATGGCCTTGGGTGGCACGTCATCGTCTTCAAACGGCGGGAGCTTGACGCACTGCACGTCCCAGTCGTCCCATTCTCTACATGACGAAAAGGTGGTGACGTGGCAAGCACATGCAGCGACAACACCGTACCGAGCTTCGTGGTAGTAGCAGCCATTGCCCGACGCGTCAATGACCGTCGTGACGTTGATGCGGTCGCCACGCGCGCTCTTTTGGATGAGGCCCTCCATGAGATCGCTCGGGCTGCCGCCCGCAAACGACTCGTCGTAATGGATTTCGTAGAGCGGCGCCAACGGCGCGCGCACGGGCAGGAGGTTCTTCACGACGGCGCCGAACATGGGCGTCTTCTGCCACGCCGTCCACTCGGTCGGCGACCACGGCAGCAGCTTGCGCCCGCTCGAGGCTTTGGCCCGCGTCTGCTGCTTGAGCAGCGCCTGGATGCGCTCGATGGGGACCGCCATTCGCCCGAATTTGTTCTTTCGCCTCGCATCTTGGTTGGATATAGGTTTTCGCGCATTTGATTGGTAGAAAAGGAGGCTATTTCCACCGATTTGCACCAATCGAACAGGGTTGTCACGCTTCGCGCGCCAGATTGCTGTTTGAACGCAAGCCGAGAAGGAGGAGGAGGTGCGGACGACGTGGCGGTGGCCGAGCAAACTGCGAACCCGCTTCGACGCATGGACGTCCCACGCTCACCTAGGTCCTCCTTTTTCGTCGTCGGGCGGCAGACGGGACAGACGTACGCTCGGCGTACCATCGGGTCAGCACATGGTTGGATGGCACTGGCATTTTGCCATCTCCGCCACGTACGATAGGCGGTGAAGCGCTTCTCGAAGCTCTAACCTTGTTGACATGACAGCAATGACTACGTTGTCTTCTTTCATAAGGACCCTGGGGCGGCTCGAGCGGCATGCAGTGTGATTGTGATGCACATTGGAATAAGATCTGGTTTGTGGTTCATGCGCCAGATCTTAGAGTGGTCCTACGGCCACCTATGTTGCATCGGTCGAGAAAGCGCATGCGATGGGTGCTGCGAGCTGCAGCAAGAGTGCCGCCACTCCCTCCCATGGGCTTGGCCGCCGAGGGTTGTGATGGCACGTCGTACCTCTCGCTCGCGCAGCTGCAATGGACGCTTTGTGGTGGAGGTCATCTAATGGCTGGTGACAGCACGCATAGCTGGACTCGGAACGGTATGTCGTCGCTTCGCTGCTCCCGCCATCGAGTCTACGAGCTCGTATTGTGGACTTGCTACTCGGACTCATGGTGCCTCTGGCCGTTGCTCTCTTGAGATCCCACCGAATGACGGCAGCGCGAGCTCCATCGGGGGCAACAGCACCATGGACCAAGCCATCTCAACCAAGTACGTTGATTTTGGATATCAGATGTTCAGGAGACTCACGTCCCTATTCGGCGTCGTCGGTTAGGGTTAATAAACCCTATCCCTATAACCACAAAAGCGGACTTTGCGTGCGTAGGAGAGCACCCACCGGCGCGTTGAGTACGTGGGAACGACAAAGTACCCGAGCGTCGCCCAAGGGTTCGTGCATTCAAAGGTGCCACTACACGCAGAGGCGTGCAACGATGCACCACACCGTGGGTGAGGTCGAGAGGCACGCAGCGGCGACGTCGCGCTCGTCGACTGGGTCCAAGAGACCCTGCGGTAGCCGCAGAGTATATTCTACAGCTTGGGTGGTGCTATCAACCAAATTTGTCGCGCCAAGTCACATCCAAAGGTTTGTACGAGACGAGGTGTCGCCGAAAGCAGTTGACGACGACCAAATCAATCCATTGTGCGATACAAGATCCCATGTCCACAGACTGCAAAATAGGACTAGACACGAATAGTAGTACACGGGCCGACTCCTCTTTGATTCATTGTACGGTATTGACCATCGGCAAAGCAAAACCTGCAAGTGTGATGCCACTGTCAAGGCTTTGCGATAGCGACCTCGTGTGAATCGACGTGGGCGATGGCAAATGCGAGATGCACAGAAAGGCAGACTTTTACACGATGGTATTTACATATTTTCGCGCATTTGGCCACCATGGCATACGATCGACCTACGCAACGCCGGCGCGGCGCGG